ATCCAGGTTTAAATCTGAACCCTTGACCATGAAAACTGAATGGGAGGGTCTCCGGCCAATCACCTCTCTCTTAGCTTCACCAACCGTTGTGACAATGAAGTGGGGGGAGGGGGAGAAAAGGAATGGAGTTCTACACCCTGGACGGAACTCTTTGGTCAAGGATTGCAATAGAAACCGGCAGAATGAAAAGGGTTCTCTCCACATCTGAGCCACAACTGCTGCCTACACAGGGGCAGACATTCCTATCCCTTTGCAGTTCTCAGTTACAGGCCCAGGAATGGCACTGTGTAGTATGGAAGTTGTTTTAGAGGAAGGAGCGGCAGCTCAGAAACAGCATGCAGAAAATGACGCATCGTCTGGACCCAGGTGAAGGCCATTTGTTCAGCAGTTTCTAAGCCACTGGTGAATCATTTTCGGGGTGTGCCACAGCTCTGAAACAGATGGAACTTCCATCAAGGGCAATTTGAGTTAGATAGTTCTCATTTTGGGTTATGAGATATGCTGTTTATGCACTCTGGACCGCCACAGACTAGACAACAGCTAGCTGGGTGATCTCCTGCCCGTCTACCAAGTGAGAATGAACTTGTGCTAGTGACGGACTCTGTCCTTCTGTCTTTCCATAGAGGACACATCTTTTGTTGTTGTTCAGTCGCACAGTCAAGTCCGACTCTTCGCGACCCCATGGACCAGATCACGGCAGGCCTTCCTGTCTTCCGCCGTCCTCTGAAGTTGGCTCAGTTTCATGTTCGTTGCATCTATGACACTAACCATCTCATCCTTTGCCGTCCCCGTCTTCTTTGACCTTCAATCTTTCCCAGCATCAGGGTCTTCTCCAGTGAGTGCTCCCTTCTCATTGGGTGGCCAAAGTATTTGAGCTTCAGTTTCATTATCTGGACACATCTACCAACAACAAATCCCCACCATCTCCAGATGGGTGTTGTGGTGGTTTTCCAACCAGGAAAATAGGCCTCCGCCGTGTGTACCTGATTTCTCTGATCTGGCTCAGCATGCAGCAGTCGCCTCTGCCTGAGACCCTGGAGAACTGCTGCCGGTCTGAGAAGACAACACCGACCTTGCAACTTTGCATTAGGGATTGTGCCACCTAAGAAAATCCCCTCATATATGAGCTTCCTTACATCCCCTGGATTTAGACACGTCTTCACACTTGCTAGGTTGAATGTTTTTCCTACCGCAGAGCTAAGAGGCCGTTTTCCTAAAAAAAAAAGTATTCAAATAGACTGTGTGATTGTGGATCAGGCGCAATGGAGACCTTAGATCAGTGGTGGCACACCTATGGCACGGGTGCCAGAGGTGGCACTCAGAACCCTCTCTGTGGGCACGCGTGCCATTGTCCCAGCCAGGCCCAGACCATCATTAAAGTGTCGAATTCTCTGCCAAATAATTTTAAGTAAATGAAAGCATTTGGGATTGCTTTCCTTCCTTTGTTTGGATCATCTTAAGTTGATGTATGAGTTTTTTTTCCGAAAGTAAAACCTCAGTATTCAGGTTAAATTGCCATGTTGGCACTTTGCAATAAATAAGTGGGTTTTGGGTCGCAGTTTGGGCACTCTGTCTCTAAAAGGTTCGCCATCACTGCCTTAGATCATCTTATGTTATCTTGCCACCAGTGGATTGGCCCCAGATCCTGTTGGATTATTCCTGTTTTACATAGACACCACCTTCCTATGGAACCTTGGGTGATAACCTTATTGCTAGCAGATGAGGAACCTGAAACAAATCACTTGGGGGCAAAATATCTATCGATAGTGCTATTTTTAAAGCAGCTTTGAAATGCTGTATGTAGTTTTATGTACTAAAATTTTAAAACCAATTTCCATAATAGGGGATTTTATAGAACTTATGGAAGTTTATAAAATGTTGTCTATTAATATTGTTTGTAAGTTTATTAGTTTTCATTGTAAAAATGCTTGGCCTAAATTATCTTGTAATTATATGTAACGTGTTTTATAGTAGCTGCTTGTATGCTTGGCTTAAGACCTCTGGTCAATAAAGCTAATAAATGAAAGAGACAGCACTGACCTCGATGGACCAAGGGTCTGCTTCAGTATCAAGCAGCTTCATGTGTTCATGTGAGACAGACGGCCTCTGAACCACACCAAAGCCTTGCTTGTACTGACATCTGGCTACGTGACCATAGGTAAGCTGCATACACATCCCTCAGCTGCAAGCTCCATATAGGCTAGCACTGGACTGTCAATAGCCAAATCTTGAACTGGCAGGTGGACCCGCACAACTGCCTCGCCACAGGGCAACGTGGCTGAAATCCACACAAACAATGGTTTCTGCAGAAAGTTGAAACAGGCCTTGGATTCCCATCAATCACTTTGCAGATCTAAGCTGGACTAGATAAGCTTCACTTGAGGAAGCATGGGCCAGTTGAATCGCTTTCCAAGAGGCGGCAACAGCTCTACCCTAAACCACGGGCAAGTTCAGGAAGTCAAACATCAAGGCAGCAGTTTCACAGTTGTGATGAACAGAATAGACCAGCTGGCCTGGATCGGTGGTCTAGAGACACTACTGGTAGCTGGTGTGTTTTCGAAGTGTCTCCCACCCAGAATCGCCACGAAAAACAAGAGAGGAAAACGCTGGGGAGCTGAAATGGCAAGCTGATTTAAAATTTTAAAGCCTCGTGTTGTGTTGTGCTGTTGAAGAAGCAAGCGAGGGCAAGGGGAACGAGTGAAGAAAGCCCCAGAGGTGTGTATAGCTCTCCCCCACATCAGGCATACAGAACTGTGTAGAGTGCAGAGGAGAAATGCCCTTGCTGAGTATTATTAATTCAGCAACCTTTCAAACATTGTTTCACACTATAGAGCCACACAACCCACTGCTGTGGGGCTGAGCTTCGAGACCATTTCCCCTGCGAATCCTCATTTGCCTTCTTCACTGCATCCTCCATATGGCAGAGGGACGACAGATGAACAATGAAGAGGCTGCTGCTATCAAGCTCTTTGGAGCTCGCCTGGGGGAAGAAGTGAATGAAGAGGGTCGGTTTCAAGTGTCAGCCGTTCCTGTAACCAGCAGGACACCGGCAAGCATCTTGCTGAGACAGCACCACCTACAGGCAGGACATAGTACAGCAATCCAGCTGTAACGCCACACTGAGGCAGACCCACAGTTTTTAAAACATAAATCCTGGGGTGTTTTTTTTAAAGGCTAAAAGTCACAAAACCAGTTATGGACTGGAGCCGACTTTGTCAGACGAATGAAAACTCACGCTTCCTTTCAGCAGCAGAGCTGGTGGCGTGGGAACAGCCTTCCATGCAATTGCTATCAACCCCAACAAAAGATAAAAGTTATTCATATTCCTCCCCCCCCCCCCCAAGAGATTTCCATTTCAACTCTGACAAAGGCAGTTTCGACTCATGAAAGTTCAAGCCCTGAAAATCTTGGTCTCTAAAGTGCTAACTGGATTTGTGTGGTGTAGAGGCCATTTATTCAATTCATTTGCACCCCACCTTTATCTCCAAGGACCCAAAGCAGCTTACATCCTTCTGCTCTCCTCCATTGTATCCTCACAACAACCCTGTGAGGTAGGTTAGGCTGTGAGACGGTGAATGGCCTGAGGTCACCCAGCGAGCTTCCATGGCACAAGTAGGGACTGGAATCCAGGTCTCCCAAACCATAGTCCAATACTCTTAACCACTAGACAACACCGGCTGTTATATCTGGTGAAAACGGGGGTGGGGGGGAACGTCAGCATGATTTCCAGGGGTTAGGGCTTCAATGCCATGCATCGCCTCCTTGATAACTAGGAGAATAAATTAGGCGAATATGAGAAAACGACCATTTGTTCCAGCTACGCTGGGTTGGGCAATTGGCTCCCTTCCTGTCTCGTCCTTACCTGGCCACAGTGATCCATGCAATGGTCACCTCCAGATTAGACTACTGAAAAGCACTCTACGCAGGGCTACCCCTTGAGACTGATCCGGAAATTACAGCTGGTCCAGAATGCGGCGGGGTGAGTTCTCACAGGAACTTCATTGACAGCACATATTCAACCAGTGCTCCGCCAGCAGCACTGGCTCCAGGTTGAATACTGGGACTAGGTTCAGGGTTTTGGTATTAGCCTTTAATTGAACGGTCTGGGAGCACTGTATCTACGGGACCACCTCTCCTGGCATATCCCCCCAAAAGCATTACGCTCAAGAGAAAAGAACCTGCTGGTGATCCCTGGCCCAAAGTGTCCTGCTGTTCTCAACCAGAGCCAGGGCTTTCTTGGCTTTGGCACTGACCTGGTGGAACTCTCTGCCAAATGACACCCGTGCCCTGCGGGACCTAACTCAGTCCTGCAGGGTCCGTAAGACAGAGATGTTCCGCCAGACTTACAGTTGGGGACAGCGACGGCTTTTTAGCTAGCACGGCTCCTTCCTTCCCTCTCTGCCATTGGGAAAGGACACTGAATTGTGTATTTGCTGCCGTCTCGCAGGGCTCTTTTTGTAGCAGGTACTCATTTGCATATTAAGCGACACACCCCTACTGTAGCCAATCCTCCAAGAGCTTACAGTAGCTCCTGTAAGAAGAGCTCTGTAAACTCTTGGAGGATTGGCTACATTAGGGGTGTGTGGCCTAATATGCAAAGGAGTTCCTGCTACAAAAAGAGCCCGGCCCTGTCTGAAACGGTTATTTGAAATTGTGAACTGAATTGTTAACCTTATTTTAATTTCAATTCAGTTCTAAATTCTTGTATATTTTTGGAAATGCTGTCCTCCGCCTCCCCCTGAGCCCTATTTACAGGGAAAGGCGGGTAATAAATCGAAAAAATAAATTTACACAGGCTGCATCATTCTGATGTTCTTGCTACCGAGTTGACTTAACGTGCCTTTCCGAGCGTGCGTCGTTCTTGCTGTAGCAGGGACCAGGGAAAAGAATGGGAAGGTCACTGAATAAGAAAGGGAGGAAACCAAGCCAAAATGAGGAAACCAAGCCAACATGTCACAAATAAACAGCTTTCATTGTATTATAAAACACATCAGAATTTTTGGCAAATATTTTACAATTTAATTCCTTCTTTCTGAGGCTACGGAAGAATTAAGTTGGCGGAGGGGTGAGGTGGGGTATTGGGGGTATTGTGTACCGGAGAGGGGAATGTTGGAAATTAAAGATGAAATTTCAATGGACTTGCTTTAAAAAATAAGAGAGATGAAAAAGGCCTCTGACCCCAGCCCCCTCCCACCAAAATAAAAAGCCATTTTCACATTTCTCATTCCACTATCCAGAAGAGGCCACAGGGTATCAAGCAGCAGGCGAAACCTGGCAAATTTCACCGACAAAAAAGCCATTTGAGAGATGAAGAGGACATCCGAGGCTATTTCTAGTAGGGCCTGTTACGCTGATCGCTTCTGAAATCGTTCCTAGAAGGGAAATAGAAGGCGTTAGTTTGCTCGCGTGTCTACAAGCGGTCAGAATTCTGCTCCAGCACCTACTGCAGTCTCACGTGCTGTCTGCTTGCAGTAAGTCAGCCCCAAGTCCAGCTGCCGAGCACCACCTGGCTGGGGGCACTGGTGGACCCACCGGAAAAAGCAAAGATCCAGAGGCAACGACCATGGGAGAAAGGAAGGGGCTTGGTGTGGCCCTTAAGCTGCCAGCACCCGGTCCTTTGGAAGAGTTTGTAATACCTGCCCCCCAGTTTCTTGTCCCGCTCCTGAAATGGCAGAGGTTATGCCCATATACAGCTTTTGGACCGCATCCCTAGAATCGGAATCGACTGGCTTTCGAGCAAGGGAAACTTTTACCTAATTTAAAGGTTGGTGCCAGAGGTTCCCCATTTCTGTCCCAAATCTGGGAGAAGTGACCACCAGAACTGAAACAAGCCCTTTCTCCCCAACGGCTAGCAGAAGATCCTCATTAAATTTTTTAAAAGCTACAGAATCCTTTTTCTTTTTTTTTTACTGGCTCAACCCCAAAGACTGAAAGCCATCCCCACAGTTTAAGGGGAGCAGCGCAGTGTCTCAACGTTCTTGAGAGCTGATGTGTCAGCAAAGTGCATTTATTGCAGCATGACCTTTATTGCAGTTGGACCTGCAACTACTTCCAAACTGGCTCAAATCCTATTTCTAATGTCACAGCTTTCCAAGACATGCAAGGCTCTCTGTTAGCAATTGTCACAGCCCATCAGCTGCCTCAAAAGAACACTACACCTCCCAAGCTACTTTGAAAGAAGTCAGCCATGACCACTTTTGTGTGTGTGTGTGTGTGTGTGTGTGTGTGTGTGTGTGTGTGTCTGGCAAGAAGGAAGGTCCTCTAATTATTATGTACATAACAGAAAGGTCTGTAGAAGAGTGCGGCAGAACTGATCAATTTACAAACAAAATGGCACATTCTGAGCTACAACTGACTCTTCGGCTGGGGAACAGAGCACATTTTTTAAAAACGAGCGAGGGAACTCAAATGAGCTCTCGTCTTAATAAAGTGCCTGCTTTGAAATACACAAGGTTGTTTATAGTATACTAAAATTTTCTCACTGACACATATAAGCAAATAACTACTCCTTTGGGGTATCTTCAGAATGCCAAGGAGCCAGGGTCCACTGTACAGAATTGACATAAATATGAATCTAGCAACCAGTTTTCATCAGAATGCAACTCCACCCAAGTGCCCTGTGCACTGGTAAGAAAAAGAAAAACCATGATCTGGGCTGGAGAGTATCACTGGTCAAATCCCATCTTCACCACGAGCTCACTAGGGGATCTTAGCCAAGGCTGCTCTCTTCCACCCTCAAGGTTCCACCAGCAACATACCACCCAACTATACCGGTCTGTAGCAAAGACGGCAACACAATAGTTCATGTGAAGCGTTAGGAGCACTGCAACTTCAGCCCTACACAAATGCTAAGTACTATACTTCCAGAGGTATGTTTCATGATGTCACGCACCCAAGCAATTCCTTTCTACAGCCTATCACAGCAATTGCCAATATGGGTGAGAGCTGAGCCAAAGTTCTCCTTTCCTGAAGCAAACTTTTTTCAGCTGAGTGTTAGAAGAGTGTAGATTATCTGCCCTCGGAGGTATATTCCTGCATAAGTCATTTTTTTTAATTGGAGAGCCTCCTGACTGGCAGGTACCCAGTCAAGAGCAGAGACTCAGGCAGGGATATGCAGAGAGCCTCAAAAGGTCTCCCTTGATGCAGAGACAGGGCAGAATTTCTCACCCCCACCAGAGGAGGCATACTGGAAAGAAGCAGAGACTCCACTGAAGAAGATCATACTGACATGCAGCAGCCAGTCTCACTGATGGAAGGGGTCTTTGGCCCTCATGTTAGCCTTGACATTATTTAATTTTATCTTTGTGGCTCATCAACAGCTGTGACACACAAGGGCACTCTAGCACACCACTGTGGTCCCCCATAGCACATACTTCTATTGTTCTGAAATTCAGCACGTACCTTCCTCCCATTTTGCCACCAAAGCCGCCTCGGCCACCACGGCCTCGGAACCCCCTATCGCCACCAAAGCCACCTCTGCCACGGAAGTCTGCAAGAGGGGACCACAAGAGGAGAAACATGGGGATGCATGCTCAATGCTGCAGTATCCACATCCAGCACTGGTTGGTTATTCGCTTACCTCCTCCTCCCGGGGGACGAGAGTCTTCCGGCCTAGGCTCGTTACACTGATTGCAGGAATTCCGGCGGGCAAAATTCATGTTACCGCAAGTCCTGAGAGAAAGGAGAATCCCCATTTCAACAACTGCTTTTGCGGGGGAAGAGGAGGACCTGGCTTGGCAAGAGGTCACTGCAAACCAGGGTTTCTTGGAGGTCTGAAGTTCATAACTTCTATCTAGCAGCCACGTGTGGCCTCTGTGCAGACCAAAATGTCAGCACTGTGGGATCAAACGGGGCTACACGGGTCTCCACAAACCAGGAGAACACTAGGCTTGCAGAAAAATACCATTTGTTTTAAAACACCAGAGGCTGTAACCCTCTGTCAACATTAAGAGCAACGTCCAGGCATGCACATGCAGAGGTCATTTCGGGGGGGATCGCAGTTCCCCCGGGTGAGGTACGGGGGGCGGGGCACACGACGAAGCCCGCCCCGCCCCGTTTCCGGCCCTCATTCAGCCAGGAGGAGGCAGGAGAAGAGGGAGGATAAGTTGCTTCCTCCCTGCCTCTCCCCACCCCTGCCTGCCTGGGGCCAGGGAGGGCCTTCGTGGGTCTTCCTTGCCCCCCCGCCGGCCTTGCAGGTTCACCGCCGGGCCCCTCATGGGGCTCGGCAGTGGAGCTGCAAGGCCGGCGGCAGAGGCCGGGACCGTTGGGGGCGGGGTGTGTGGCCTTATGACACACTTCCGGTGATGTCAGGGGGGTGGCATATGCTAATGAGTTATGCTAATGAGTTCCCCTAGCTCTTTTCCTACGAAACGACCCCTGCGCACATGTATCTAAAAAATAACGCATGGAGCATTTCAGGTATCTGCAGCATTCCAAAATGGGGCTCAACATGACATAGCTGTCACCAGGAAAGGGGTGGGGGAAGAGAAGCACAGGTCAGGGAGAGGACACCATGGGATTGCTGGAGGAGGAAGAAAAGGGGTGTGTGTGTGTGTGTGTGTGTGTGTGTGAAATTAGCAAGCGATGGGGAGGAAAGGAAGCAGATTCCAAGCCAGCAGGGCAGGACGGAAGAGAAGCAGAGCTGAAGGCCGTTGGGAGAGTGGGAGATTTTCTCTCTCCCATCTTTGTAGGTCCTTCCTTGTTAATATACACTCTGAACCTTTTCCTTTCCCTTTTCCAGTTTTAGATCATTTTGTGAAGCTGCCGCCGAGTCAATAGAGAGGGGCTGATAAAATTAGGAGCCATGGCACAATGGCAGACCACAAGCTTTGGGGTTCAATCCCTGGCACCTCCAGTTAAAGGGACTCAGGAAGCAGGAGGTGGGAAAGACCACTTGGGGAGGGGACCCCTATCAGTGATGGCACACAGCACCAGGTAGATGAGCTGAACATATACTTTGTATGCTAACCATGTCATGCACCACGCTATTGATTCCAGGGCGGCATTAAGGGAAAGGACTTACGGATTCGGGCAAACCCAGTCTCCACTCTTGGGTTCTCCGCCTTGGCCTCGGAAGCCCCCACCTCTTCCAAAGCCCCCTCCTCGCGAACCTGCAGGAACAACAACAAAGCAAGGCAGGGCAGCAGTGCCATGAAGACTTGGATGTTAAGGTCAGACCGGACAGGCCTCTGATCGTTCTCTCCCTTGACGACAGCTAGGTCATTGTTTTATTTAGGGATATGTGAACTGCCTCTCTGAAATGTATTCAAAGCAGCTAAACAGAACCTCCATGACCGGGGGCAGTGCATCTCTTGACCAGAGGCTGGAGAAGGGCTATTGCATCAAGACTGGTTTGTGAACTTCCTAGGGGTATGCGATTGGCCACTGTGGGAAACAGGGATGCTGGACTAGAGAAGACCTTTGGTCAGATTCCAAAGAGGTCTCCTTACATTCATTGCACAAATTCCTTCATTTAGAACCAAACTTGCCCAAACCGTTTCTCTCACCCTGCTCAGCCACTTCATTAAAGCCTTGTTCCCACATTCTCTTGTCACACCCCACCTCCCTTCTCGGCAGCCATCCATCCTGTGGCTTGGCAGAGAAAGAACGAGAGAGTGAAGCTCTTTCCAATGGCCTGCTTTCACCAATTTATATTGGATATTTCTCTGTGAACTGACTTTCCCGTTAGAAAAGAAATACAGGAAATCAATGTACGCAATAAGGATGTTCTCGAAAGCATGGTATAGCGGTTAGAGAACCAGTCTGGGATCTGTGAGATCCATGGCTGAATCCCCACTCTGCCATGCAAGCTTGCTGGGTGCACTTGGAGCAGTCACACCTTCCCAGCCTAACCCACCTCACAGGGTTGTTGTGAGAATAACACCGAGAAGAGGGAGAAGGTTGCAAGTTGCTTTGAGTCACCAAATAAATAATTTTGTCAAAAAAGATCCTCTTGCTGCCTTTCACAACTCTTTGAGGCCACAATTTATTTACAATAATTGTTATGTTCTGCCTTTCTTCTGTTGTGGAACTCAAGACGGCACAGAAGAGAGTTTATCTGGAGGTCTCCTATCCAGGAAACAACCAGTTCCAGCCCAGTTTCAGCAAACTGGGTGCATTACATAAGAATACAAGAGAAGCCATGCTGGATCAGGCCAATGGCCCACCTAGTCCAATACTCTGTGTCACACAGTGGCCAAAACCCTGGTGCCATCAGGAGATCCACCAGCATAGCCAGAACTCCAGAAGCCTCCCCACTGTTGCCCCCCCCCCCAGCACCAAGAATACAGAGCATCATTGCCCCAGACATAGTGTTCCATCTATACCCTGTGGCTAATAGCCACTGAAGGACCTCTGCTCCGTATCTTTATCATGCTTCTTAACCATCCGCTGGAACCACTACTATAACATAAGAACATAAGAGACGCCAATGTTGGATCAGGCCAAAGGCCCATCCAGCCCAACACTCTGTATCACACAGTGGCCAGAAATACCAGTGCCATCAGGGATCCACCAGTGGGGCCAGGACATTAGAAGCCCTCCCACTGTTGACCCCCCCAAGCACCAAGAAGACAGAGCATCACTTGCCCCAGAGCCCCTATCTATTTGTTGTTGTTGTTGTTCAGTCGCACAGTCGAGTCCGACTCTTCGCGACCCCACGGACGAGCTCTCTCCAGGCCCTCCGGTCTTCTGCCGTCCTCTGAAGTTGGCTCAACTTCATGTTCGTTGCATCGATGACACTGTCTAACCATCTCATCCTTTGCCGTCCCCGTCTTCTTTGACCTTCAATCTTTCCAAGCATCAGGGTCTTCTCCAGTGAGTGCTCCCTTCTCATTTGGTGGCCAAAGTATTTGAGCTTCAGTTTCATTATCTGGCCTTCCAGGGAACAGTCAGGGTTGATTTCTTTGAGGATTGACTGATTTGTTCTTCTTGCAGTCCAAGGGACTCTCAAGAGTCTCCTCCAGCACCATAGTTCAAAAGAATCTATTCTTCGGCGCTCGCCTGCTCTTTCCCATGCATAATCTTATAAACCTCGATCATGTCACCCCTCAGTTGTTGTGTCTCCAAGCTAAAGAGCCATAAGCGCTTTAACCTTTCTTCATAGGGAAAGTGTTCCAACCCTTTTATCATTCGAGTTACCCTTTTCTGCACTTTTTCCAAAGCTATAATATCCTTTTTAAGGTGTGGTGACCAGAACTGCACACAGTATTCCAAATGAGGTCGCACCATTGATTTATATAGGGACATTATGGTATTGGCTGATCTGTTTTCAATACCCTTCCTAATAATCCCCAGCATAGCATTGGCCTTTTTTATTGCAGTCACACACTGTGCCCCAGCTTGCAAGAGGCATCAACTGCAGCTGCCTGTGTCAAATTTAAAGATGTGGCCAAAACACCCCACCACGTTCTTTCCCAGGCTCTGAACGGGTGCCCTGGCCGTTCATAGGTCAGTCACTGCCACCAGCTTCAATATACCAAAGAGATATCTGCACCGATGAGTAAGCAGTCACAAAGGCCCCCACACTTCTGGCATTCTGCAAACTAACATAATTGTTCAGGAGGACAGTTTCATAAAGCCAACAGGACTGATATTATGGTGCAATAAGGTGATTTAATAAAGGATACAAGACTGTGTACCACACTAATACTTATAGTATGTATTATCTGTTTGCTGTATGTATTATCTTGTTCTCACCACACTGGGTTCTACCTGTGCAATTCCAATTTGTGGCATTGTTGATCCTTAACACATGGAATTCACTGCCACAGGAGGTGGTGGCGGCTACAAGCATGAACAGCTTCAGGAGGGAATTAGATAAGCATATGGAGCAGAAGTCCATCAGTGGCTACTAGCCACAAGGTATAGATAGGGACTCTGGGGCAAGGGATACTCTGTATTCTTGGTGCTTGGGAGGGGGGCAACAGTGGGAGGGCTCCTAGTGTCCTGGCCCCACTGCTGGACCTCCTGAAGGCCCCTGGTGTTTTTGGCCACTGTGTGACAGAGAGTTGGACTGGATGGGCCATTGGCCTGATCCAGCATTGGCTTCTCTTATGTTCTTATGCTTTACTTTCTGATTTCTGTAATCCTATTCCTATTATTTCACTTATAAGATGTTTTATTCTATCGATTGCACCAACTTGCATTGTGTGCTCTGCCCTGTGTCTCAATGAAAAAGGAGAACTATAAAAATATCATTAATACATAAATAGATTTATTTGTTGCTACCTCGGCGTCCACCACCACCACCACCTCCTCCGCCTCCTCGAATGAATTCAGGCCGTCTCGTTGCAAAAGAAACCTTGATAACACTGCCATTGAATTCCTTTCCTGGAGGAAGAAAAAGGGAAGCAGGGGAGATGAGCCCTCAGTGGGTTTGCCACAGCAGAAGCAATTTTAAAAATGGGAAAGAAGCCTGGAGCCCTACTGAGAAAGGCAACCATGAGAGCCCTCAGATAGAGAACTGAGACGGGCACTTTGGGCTTCCCCATTCACAGAACACCTAGGCAAAGTATATATTTGGGTAGAAGAAGCAGGGAGAAACAAGAGGTTGGGCAAGAAGGAAAAGGCTTCCCTTGAAACTCAAGTCTTCCAGCCAAGCTTCCTGGCTCCGTAGAGGTAGTAGGGAAAACCACCACAAACCCTCATGACTGCCATTAATTAATTACTGGGAATTACCTAACCATTTTATTATCAGTTGCTGTAGATTTCCCAGGTTGTATGGCCGTGGTCTTGGCATTGTAGGACCTGCCGTTTCGCCAGTAGCTGTGACTGGCATCCTCAGGAGTATAACACAGAAAGATGGAGTACTCTCTGTGTCAAGGTGAGAAGAAAAATGGTAGGCAGGTAATTTATATCTACTCAGGAAGGTGGGGTAGGGCTGAGTCATTATCTTGTAGGAGTTCCCCAGGCTGTGAATATGCTAATGGAGGAGCTTTCCTGAGGAGGTTCTTTTCTATATGGATTGTTTCCTGAGGAGGTTCTTTTGCATGTGGATTCTAATCTAATGTACAACTGTTGTATATATGGTTCAAAATAATAAAAAACACTTATTTGAAAGAAAGAAAAAACAGGACAACAGTGCATGAACACATATGTTTGGCTAAAGTACAGAAAAGGGAAGGTCTTACCATCAAACCAGTCAATTGCTGCCTTAGCAGAAGGAGGATCATCAAAAGACACTGTTGCTTCCCCCTTTGGCTTGCCAGTATCCTTGTCTGTGTAGAGGTTTATCATAAGCTTGCCTGTCTTTTTATTAGTCTGTGAAGGGAGTCGGGGGAGAGATACACCAAGGTAAATGGCATTTTCTTGCTTTCAGTGCTCGGTTTCTCTTTGCACACCAGAAATATACAAAAACTGCAGCAGAATCCTGTGCTGCCCCATGAATGGTGAGGAACTAGCAGAATGGGCACCATTTATTCAGGCATGAGACCTCATGAGTCAGTGTTCATTTCTTCAAAGCGCACACTGGAATAAATGTTTGCCTTTTAAGGTGCCGCTGGGTTCTAGTTTTATTTTGCTAAAATAGACGGACACAGGTGCTCCTTTGGAATTCAGATTTCTACCCAGCAGCTCCAGCATTCAGTAGCTCCCCCTCATTTTAGCTTCGTTGCCTGCCACTCCCCACCCCTCCTTAAATTCTTTATGCTTTACTTACCTTAATAATACCTATTTGCTTGAAATACTCAGCCACTTGATCGGCTGAAACATCATCTCCGAGTCCTTGCACAAAGATGGTGTTGTTGTCAGAGTTATCAGATTCCGAATCTAGATTAACGGGGAGATAAGTTATTTTTTTAAATCAAAACGGCATTTGGGGGTTAGCCGAAAAGATCTGTTTCAGGACGCCTGGAATCAAAGCCCAACCGCTGTTTCACGTGTAAAACCAAAAAGCTCTGGCAACTCCCTGTGGTGGGCAGCTTTGAATACACACTGGAAAGCAAAGCTGTAGTGATACAGGACCTGCAGCCTTTGATTCCAGCAGAATCCCAAAACACATCCTTAGAGAGAAGACAGAAAGTCGCACTGGAAAAGACCTATATGAGTGCAGTGTTACCTTTCCAGCCTCTAGTACTCAAGAGGTATACTGCCCCTGCACATGGAGGTTTCAGTCTTAATCACAGCTAACAAGCATCTCTGACTTGTCCTCAACAAGGAAGTCTAAGCTCCACTTTTAACCACCCAAATTGCCATACATTGTGGTAACGAGTGCCACAAGCTGATTTTGTGCTGTGTGAAGTAATTTCTTCCATCTGTCCTGAACCTACTGATCACTGAATGATGCCCACTCCACCCCATCAGCCCCTAGTTCTATTATTATAAGGTGCACTCCCTATTTTAAGCCAAAGCAGAGAACCAATGACTACAAATATATCTCTATAGACATGCTTTGCATTTGACAGAATACAAGACCATAGGTAAAGGTAAAGGTTCCCTTGCTCGAAAGCCAGTCGAATCCGACTCTAGGGTTGCGGTGCTCATCTCAGTTTCAAAGCCAAAGAGCCAGCGCTGTCCGAAGACGTTTCCGTGGTCATGTGGCCGGCATGACTAAACACCAAGGCGCACGGAACGCTGTTACCTTCCCACCAAAGTGGTACCTATTTATCTACTTGCAATTTCTTGCTTTCGAACTGCTAGGTTGGCAGGAGCTGGAACTAGAGACGGGAGCTCACTCCGTCTTGCGGCACCCCGGTCTCGAACTGCTGAACTACTGACCTTCCACAGCCTGCAGTTCAGCGTCTTAACCACTTGAGCCACCGCAGCTCCTCAAGACCATAGGCTTCGCCAAAAAGGTACGAGAGAGGTGGGCTCATGCAGGTGTTCTGAGTGGCGGCTCCAAGCATACAAGGCAGCAAGGGAGAAAGGGAAGAGGAGACCATGGGACAGCCAAGGGTGGTGCAGGCAGTGATATGATCAGGATACTAGAACAGGGAGGTAAGGAGGAATGAGGCCATGAAGGAAAGGAGTTTTTATGCAGAGGGGAGGAGCTAACAGGAAACCAATGGAGGAAGCCTTCCAGTGGGGACCTCATGTGGTCTGAACAACACGAGAAGTGAATGACTTTGGTGGTGGTAAAAGGTAAAGGTAAAGGTTCCCTTGCTCGAAAGCCAGTCGAATCCGACTCTAGGGTTGCGGTGCTCATCTCTGTTTCAAAGCCGAAGAGCCAGCGCTGTCCGAAGACGTTTCCGTGGTCATGTGGCCGGCATGACTAAACACCAAGGCGCACGGAATGCTGTTACCTTCCCACCGAAGTGGTCCCTATTTATCTACTTGCAATTTCTTGCTTTCGAACTGCTAGGTTGGCAGGAGCTGGAACTAGAGACGGGAGCTCACCCTGTCTTGCGGCACCCGGGTCTCGAACCACTGAACTACTGACCTTCCACAGCCTGCAGTTCAGCGTCTTAACCACTTGAGCCACCGCAGCTCCTATGGTGGTGGAGTGCTGGGCAAAGGTGAAAGGGGGCCAAGGAGTGACAACAGGAGGCCAGAGAGGGGGAATTTGCAGCAGCCAAGGCAAGAAGAACTGGTCAGGCTGCTTTTTTGCTTACCAGCATCTGACTTTGGACCGTAATCCCTTTGACCTGAAGAAAGGAGTCAAACAGAGAAAAGCAAAGGGTAATTGAACAAATACAGAAGTCATGCAAAACTATTTTTCATCAACATTACTTGATGTTGAAAGAAAGATGGGGGGGGGAGATATGCAGCACTTAGAAAACCAAAACAAGATTCAGAAGACCATTGTGATTAAACAATCATCTGACAGAAGGTGTCACAGTCTTTCATGTTTGCAGACTGCAGTCAGGTTTACACTGGTGGTCATCTTGCAAGGGCGGGCTGGCCATGGACAGCAAGAACTCTCAAGCTGGTATGCAGCGCTCGGAGGACATCTGGGTATGCCCATCCAGTGGCAAGCAAGAATCAGGACAAAAAAAAAAACGTTTTTCATGCAGCCGGGGGAAAAAAAAGAAAACGAAAAGGTTTATTTTTAATGCATAAAGACCAAATCTTTTTTTTTTGTTTCAAAAACAATCCCACCCTTGGCCAAAAGAGGGGTAAACAAAACAAACTTTTCTAACACACCATAACATGGCATTTGGTGGCTTTTAAGAAAGATCTTATTTCTTTTTAATCTAGAGAAGTTCCACTGAGGGAGGTTTGAAGTTGTCGGGTTTGGGCTTTTTCCCCCCATTTTGTTTCAAAATGCTTGGCACTTACCACCAAAATTTTTGGAGCCCCCTCGGTCACCACCACTGCAGAGGAAAAATTGAAGAAGTGATTTCTCCCTTAAGTCTCTACAAGCCGAGCCCAGAGGCTCGAAAGCGACACTTAATTTTTGAAAGCTACTGCAAAGTTGTTAAGAATCATCAAACACTCCTGGGTGCTGGTCCGGTGATAACTCGGCCAACAGCTCCTTCCCAGGGGAGACCTGCTGGTCTCATCAGTCAAACAAAAGAAGCTATGCAGTATGCACAAGTATCCCCACCTCTCCTCTGGACCCCACAATCCCTGCAGACAAACTGAGACTTGGGATGCATGCAAGATGTATGCATGAAGGCTGGGAGTCACATGGTTGGATCCAGCGCTTTCTGCCTATACAGCAAGTTGGTAGGAAAAAATGTTTTTGCTTACCCTTTCATTACAGCCCCAAGAAAAGCTGTTCCTGAAGGTTGGGGAGCCCCCAGAACAGCAGATGTGGTAGAGGAAGAGGGTGCAGCCAAAATGGGCAAACTACCATACGCAGTTTCTTTGTTATGGCTAATTTACATAACCTGAAGGGGGGGGAGATATACGTGCCCTAGTAAAAATGGAACTGTTCTCCAAAGTAGCTCCTTTGAACCAGCATCTGCACATGCTAGACAAGAAGTGTCCACGCTAAGCAGGGGTCATTTCGTAGAAAAAGAGCTAGGGGAACTCATTAGCATAACTCATTAGCATATGCCACACCCCCTGACATCAGGGGCCCGGCGGTGGACCTGCAAGGCCAGCGGGAGTGCGAGGAAGCCCTGCAAAGGCCCTCCCTGGCCCCAGGCAGGCAGGGGTGGGGAGAGGCGGGGAAGAAGCAACTTACCCTCCCTCTTCTCCTGCCTCCTCCTGGCTGAATGAGGGCTGGAAGCGGGGCGGCCGGAAGTAGCGGGCGGGGCTTCGTCATGTGCCCCGCCCCCTGCACCTCACCCGGGGGAACTGCGTTCCCCCGCGATCCCCCCCGAAATGACCTCTGACGCTAAGTACATTAAAAAAAATGCTGATTCCTCAGATCACTTACCGCTAATCGGTTCCCTAAAGAGTTCCCCCTTTGACCACTCTATCTACAAGAACATCTGCATTCTGTTGGGTAAAGCAATATAATGTCTTAATAGCCAACGACACGCAAGAACCCCTAAACTGCACAATTGGGGGGAGGGGGGTTACTTTTGAAGACTGGTGAAGATGCTTTCCTGTTAAGAGATTATAACTATGTGCTCATTCTTCTAAGGTAAAAAATTATGCACTTGGATGCTTTGTGAGATGAGAAGACTGAAATTCAAGCTGCTCACTATAGTTTTGTGATCTGGTTTTCTGAAGGTTTGCTTTCTCAAGTTTATGGAGGTACCAGCCTCATTCTATCCTCCTTAAGAATTAATGAATGTTTCAGTTAAAGTGAAGAAATAGTAAAACGTGTCATTTTTTTTTAATTCCAAGCCCTTTCCCTTCATTGCCCTCGTACATCAGAACAGACAGGAGCAAAAGACTAATTCATCTCTGACTTCAGGATACCCCCCCAGTAAGTGATTTATTTATTTTTAGCAGCAAACTTTAATGCTTTCTCTGATACGTATTTCAGGCCTTCCTTTCAGGTGTAACCACAAAGCAGTAGGTCCAACTTAAACCCAACAGAAAGCCAGGCTAGGGATCACGCACAGGACTGCCGTTTCAGTGCAGGAAGAATGAGAGGCGCGAGTTTCCCATCTGAGACATCTTGAGACGAGCAAGTCCGGACGCCACAAACCTCTGCTCATAAATGTGGACATTTCTCATTCTTAGTGACAGGGAACTAGATGTGGTCTAAAAAGAGCCTAGCCGTTCACTGGGCATGAGAGAAGGTTTAAATTTAGAGTTACTGACACACACCAAGAACTGTGCCACGCTGCAAAACTGCTATTTTAATCCACATGGGCTACTGGCCTAAACTATGCCCCCTCCCCCTCTACGTGTAAATCTCCTCCCATACCCCAAATAAGCTACAAAGCAGTCTTGGGCGACAGCTTCTCTTTGCTCTGCCTGCATTTTGCCACCTCCACGAATGGCTTCCTGCTACCTGCCTGGCAACCCCATTTGCTAGAAAGACAATAAGGCTCCCACGTCGCCTGGCAGAGCATCTTCAACCGACAGGGCCCACGGGATAGGTGGCGAGTCCTTCCCCAGCGGTATGGCTGGGACCAGCTTGCTAACTACGGCGGCCGCCTACAACAGCATGCATTGTGCACCATTTTGCTGCTGCGCTTTCTCTCTATAGCCTTCTGTAGCGGGACTTTCCCCGCAGAAAAAAAGGAGTCTTAAGGATTAGCACTCCCTTCCATGCAACTCCACGACTCTTCCCAAGACTCATTTCCCAGGAATGCCTCACTGAAACTCCGGACTGCTCAGAGCAGCCCTGCTTCCCAGGACTTATGAAGCCACCTTATCCCAAAAGTCAGATCACTGGTCAACCGAGCCTGGTGTTGACCATTTCAGGGCGTAGCTGTGTCAGTCTGCAGTAGAGCAGCTAGATTCAAGTCCAGCAGCACCTTAGAGACTGACAAGATTCCGGAGGTATAAGCTTTCAAGAGTCAACGCTCTCTTCATCCCACAGAGCCCCACCATTATCTTTGATTCTCAAAAGCTTATACCTCCAAAATGATGTTGGTCTCTAAGGTGCTAGGTAAAGGTAAAGGTTTCCCTTGCTCGAAAAGCCAGTCGAATCCGACTTTAGGGATGTGGCGCTCATCTCCGTTTCCAAGCCGAAGAGCCAGCGCTGTCCGAAGACGTTTCCGTGGTCATGTGGCCAGCATTAGACGCTGAGGCGCACGGAACGCTGTTACCTTCCCACCGAAGCGGTACCTATTTATATACTTGCAATTTCTTGCTTTCGAACTGCTAGGTTGGAAGGAGCTAGGACCAGAGACGGGAGCTCACTCCGTCATACGGCACACTCGGGTCTCGAACTGCTGAACTACCGACCTTCCAGCCTGCAGTTCAGCGTCTTAACCACTGGACTCAAATCTAGTGAGCCCAGAGTTGGGCACGCAGACTGGTAGTGGCTAGCAAGGCAAGAGGGCCGTTTCCCAGCCCTGCTATCAGAGGTCCAGATCCAACACCCTACATGTGAGGCCTGTGCTCGACACCACTGAGAGCCAGTTTGGTGTAGTGGTTAAGTGCGCGGACTCTAATCTGGGAAAACCGGGTTTGATTCCCCACTCCTCCACTTGCACCTGGCTGGATGACCCTGGGCAAGCTGTAGTTCTGATAAGAGCTGTTCTTGAAAAAGAGCAGTTTCTGTCAAGAGCTCTCTCAGCCCCACCTCCCCCCCAGGGTGTCTGCTGCGGGGAGGGGAAGGGAAAGGAATTTATAAGCTGCTCTGAGACTCCTTCGGGTAGTGAAGGGCGGGGTATAAATCCAATCTCTTCTTCTTCTTCTTCTTCTTCTTCTTCTTCTATGGGCCCTCAGTATATAAAGGAAATTCAAACTTACATTTAGAAAGTCAGTCAAGCAAGGGCTTAAGTGAGAGCCAGTTTGGTGTAGTGGTTAAGTGTGCGGACTCTAATCTGGGAGAACCGGGTTTGATTCCCCACTCCTCCACTTGCACCTGCTGATGTGACCTTGGGTCAGTCACAAGTTCTGGCACAGCTGTCCTTGAAAAAGAGCAGTCTGTGTCCGAGCTCTCTCAGCCCCACCCACCTCACAGGGTGCCTGTTGTGGGGAGGGGAAGGGAAAGGAGTTTGTAAGCCGCTCTGAGACTCTGAGTGAAGGGCGGGGTATAAATCCAATCTCTTCTTCTTCTTCTTGATGGGGGAACAAGCAAAAGAGATCCATAAATAAGGCAAAAGTAAAAGTGCAGCTGGGCTGGATGTAATGGAACACCTGGGATCACTTGCCTCGTTTCCCACAGAGGGCCACGCCTGTTCCCCTGACCCATAAATTAACACATAAGTGTCTCTTGACGACATCCCACAAGACCGTTTGTTAGTCAAAATGATTTCCCAGTAAACGGTTGCTCTTTGCTTAGCATCTCGGGCCGAGGAGCCAACAGAGCTTCCATTTTACACAGGTTCCCTTTAACATTCCTGTCACTCCATCTCAACCACCCACTGTCATCCCGAAGATTTTTCATTGGATCCACATTCTGACAGACAGCTGCTCTGTGCTGATTCAAAATCATCTGTAATAGACGCAGGCAGAGGTGCCTTGTGCACAGTAACATATTCCAGATTCTGTCACCACGCCTTCTTTCCTGGACTGTAATTCTTCGATGGGCACGTAGGACAGCTCGACTTCAGCATGCTTGTCATGTGGATCCAGCGTGGTCCAAGTAGACCCAGCATTCTAACCTGTTTAGAAGAGCAGCCTCCACTCCTAAATCAGCAAGACAACCTTTAATTCTTCCAGCTTTGGACAGAGAAAGACAACCCCCCCACCATGAACTCTAAGGGCTTCCACTTTCCCTCCCACCTTCAAAGTCATTTGCTTAAACTTCACAAAGGCTGTTCCTAGAGCTGTGAATAGCAGCAGCACTGTATTTCACGTTGCCAGGCAACGAAGCTTTCATCAAACTCTGAGTAGGAAAAACAGAAAGCTCAACTCCCATCAGAACAGAGCGCCTTAAGCATCGCTCAAGACCAGGATGCACCTGACACTGCAACCTTGGCCCTCCATTAAGCTACCAGGATCAAGCATTTTCCTTTCTAAGTAGAGTCAGAACACCTTCTCCTCTAACCCCTCTCACATCTCACAGTACACTACTTTAACAATGAAGAATAAATCCCAGAGCATCCACTCTGGAATCTGACCACTCGGTGAGAATGGTTTGTTTTCCGATGCTGCTTGCAATTACGAGGAATGAAAAGCTACTAGGTGTTGTGCAGCAGCTTAAGAGAATCTGCTAGATGCTCAAGCCAAACCCTGATCTGAGACAAACGGCCTTCTCTCAGCCTCAGCCCAACACCTGCAATACTGGGATAATTGTGCTGGCTCACCTTACAGGGCTGTTGTTAAGGACAACAATGAGGGAGCACGTGAAGCACTCCAACCACTGAAAATGCAACAGAAAGGCTAAGTACTGTGCCATTACTAAAATATTTTTAAGGAACAAGGTTGAAGCTTATTTGCCGAATTCCAACGACTGTTTAAGGCAAGCAGTTTAACAGCATGGTGGCAACCGTGTGGGGTAGAGGTTAGAGTGTCGGACTAGGATTGGGGAGATCCACGTTCAAATCCCCGCTCTGCCATGGAAGCTGTCTGGGCAACCTTGAGCCAGTCACACACTCTCAGCCTCACCCACCTCTCAGGGTTGTTGTGAGAATAAAAATGGGGAAGGGGAGAACGTCTGAGCCAATTTGGGACCCAGTGAGGAGGAAGAGGGAGTATAAATTAAGTGAATAAATAAATGTTGCTTGTGGACACAAGATATACCTGGAGCCGAAAACTACCAGGGATAGGAAACTCCAAACACAGACACATTCTCAGGAGCGCCCTTTGGCGAGTTTACGATGGCTCCACTTCCATTGCCATGAGTGTTCCTGGCTGACAAAAACCAGGCTGGCCTGTTTTTGCACCTTTAAAAGAGTAGTTTTATCAGCTGAAATCAGTTGGTGAAGCTTTTCACAACATAGAGATACAGAAGTATCACTGGTGGCGGATTGAAGACACAGGGGCAGGGCTCAGTAAAAGCTGGCTATGCCAGTTCCCACCTGTTATATGGGAAGACTGATCACCCGGCTTCAGTTTTGTCAAGGGGATGAGCCATGACTATAACTTGCATTTTGCATATTATTTACTTATTTATTTATTTATTAAATTTATATCCATCCCTCCCCCGTAGGGCTCAGGGCGGCTTACATAGCAAGAAATCTTGCAATAATAAATTAATGAACAGATGAATCCCAGGAGTCTTCAGTGAAAGCATGACCGGGTCTGATACCTACCAACTCATCCAGGCATTGGATTTGCTCCCCTAAAACGCCACTTTGCTGTAACAGAGAATGCTGTATTCCCAACTTGCGTTCTCCATGAGAGAGAATGTGAAAGCAACAACGAACAAATTGAGTACCTTCAGATTTGAACTTTTGAGTAAAAACAGCTTTCAAGCATCTGCAAGCATGGAGAACGTATCAGCTGGGCGGCTCTATGCCATTGTCTGTAAGTACAGAGGAGTGACACTCTTACCTCATCCCAGACATTGGACCTCTGCTGTCGGAATCGAACCTGCTTCCACCTCCTCGTGGCCCGCCATAACCTCTGCTGTCTTCTCCGTACCTGCTCTTTTCACGGCGATCATCTGCCGAATTACAAAGCAATTATTCCGGAGTGGACAAACAGAGCCCCCCCTTATTCACATGTGACATGCTAAGTTCCTATGACAGATCTCTATTCTGGTGCACACCTGATAAAATAAACAATGTTTATCTACTACCCCACCCCCTTTTAGCTTTACTGCTAATTTACAGGTTAGATCCAACCAGCTTTTCAACTGCTAAAGAAGAGAGCACCTTGGACTACCAAAATGACTATGCTGGGGACTGTGGGACCTGCCAGCACAAGAACCACAAGGGACCATACTAAAGGAGATGATTAGGTGAGACAGAGTGGAAAAGCTGGCTGAGTCAAGCCCTACGGTTCCAAATGCCAATTACTGATTTAACTTTTTTAAAAAGCCGTTGATCCTCGCTGTGCTGCTGCTAGTTGGTGCTTTTAAGATCTTCTGAACTTTACATTCTTCTTTTCCTGTTTTATTGTCATGTCCTTATCTGCAAACTCCCCCAAATGCCTTTCAGTGGAAATACAGGACAGACATCTCCCAAATGAATAAATAAAGTGGGCCTGGCACCTGCTTTATCACATTTAGGGAGAAATCTGTCCAGCTGCTTTACGCTTTTGGTGGGTAATATTCAGCCCGAAGATACAACTTCTTTTATAGCCCATTTCTATTGCTAGCTCTGTTTACACCACTTTAAGCTGCTTTTTCCTGTTTCCAGCACACAACCCCAGAGTGGTATTTCAGCACAGGAAAGATGTTTTAGTAAAAGGTACACCTGTAATACATAAACAACAACCCTTGCCAAAACTAGCAAGGCCTGTGTAGGACAGAACACTGTCCTCCAGGACTCAGTGTTACAGCGTTGTACAAAGGCAGAAAAGTCCTATCCAGTCTCAAGAGAAGCCTTTCCCAGTCTTGCTATCCAAGCAGTGCACTGATTTCAACAGACTCGAAAGATGTAACTCTGCTTGGGATTGCACTGAAGATCCCTGAAGCAGAAGCACCAGCAATTGAACCTGGAGCTTCATGCGCCAAACGAAGCCTCCCATCCCTAAAAGTCAGGTGATTATTTTTCAGACACCACCACCACCACCCGTTCCCATAACGTAAGGACTATTAGCACTGTTGATATTTATTTTTGTTAACTGTCTCTGAATGTAAAACCTACCCTGCATGTTATGTTCATAACTTTCCTTCTGCTGTAACTGGTAGGATGGCTGGTTCTGGCCGTACGATCCTTGTTGCTGGCCATAGCTTGACTTTTGGCCGTAAGAGCCTGGCGGCTGACCATAGCCCTGCTGCTGCTGCTGGTCGTAGGAATCTCGGTTTTGCCCTGACTGCTGGTCATATGAGCTTTGCTGCTGTCCCTGTTGGCCATAGCCGGACTGCTGGTCGAACGGCCTTTGCTGCTGGCTGTAACCCGACTGTTGGTCGTAGGACCCTTGCTGTTGACCATAACCTGAAGGTTGGTCGTACGAACCTTGTTGTTGTCCATAGCTGGGCTTCTGGTCGTATGGGGGTCTCCCGCTGAAACAAGAAAGAAGTATCACCGCACTCTTAGTTTTATGCGGAAGTGCAGAAAAACATAGTTTAGTCTCTTGGCCACAAGCATGCACCAAAATCCAAATTGGTGGCGTCCAAGATCCCTCCATTAACCAGGGCTGTGTTGTTGCTGGCCACCAGGAGAAGACTCGCCCTGCCCTCTACAGAAGATCAGCTTCTTTGTTACGAAGGGCTCTGCTCCTCGATACATTTGGGAAGAGGGCAAAAGAAGAGCTAAATGATAAGAAGTTGCCTGATGCAAACCACTGGTCTACCCAACTCAGTGCTGTCTGCTCTAACAGCTCTCCAGAGTCTCAGACAGAAGGATCCTTCTCAATGCCTGCTACTCAAGATCTTTTAAAAGAGAACACCAGGGATTGCAGCTGGGGACTTGTACATGCAAAGGAGGCGTCCAGTGCTGACCTATAACCCCTCTCCTCCTGGCCTTGTCAAGGAGAAGAAAAGCAGAAGAAGTGGCTGGAACATCTAGAGGGTTCAGAGGAGGAGGAGGACTAAATGTGATAGCGCAAGTGACTGTTAACATTTGAGCTTATGTAGAACATTGGGAGTTTATGGTTGACAGGTGGTCTATGTAGTCAGCAAGCAAACATTTTGGTTTGTGTCAGGATGCCCAGTGTCATGACTTAAAGAGACAGCTGCCCCCCTTCAATTATCACTGGAGTTCTCCACATGAATTCACATGAAGTTGCCTTATGCTGAATAAGACCACTGGTCCATCAAGGTCAGTATTGCCTATTCAGAATGGCAGCAGCTCTCCACGGGCTCTGGGTGATCTTTCAAATCACCTACTACCGGATCCTTAAGTGGAGATGCCAGGGATTGAACCTGGGACCTTCTGCATGCCAAGTAGATGCTCTGCCACCGAGCCACAGCCCCTCCCCTCGAAGGCAGTTCAAGCACATACATTTCGAGTACTCGTGAAACTTTGGTATAGTGAGTATTTCAAGCTTTCAAGTTAGCGTAGCACAGATCCAAAAGTCCAGTTCAAGTATTGGGAACGTACAAAATCCCAGTTTTAGAATCTTCTCCCCTTCTCAGCTGCATTGTTCTCTCAACTAACCCTTCACAACCATCCAGGAAATCCTACTGTACTAATTCAGACAGGATACTCTTTACACTGCCAGCAGCTGGCACAGAGCTGGGGGGGGGGGCACTGAAAACATACCAGCTGGCCCAGAGACAGGTAGAATAAATCTGAAAGGTCAATCAAATGGAAGGGGGTGTTAAAAAGAGACTGGGGGCTCTGAGGCTACCTTAAACGCACTGAAGGCAAAGGAAGAAGAGCCCCTGTCCAAAGGGAAAAGTTATCCAGCAGCTAAACCACCACTGGAAGTACTCTGTACAGCAAAATCCTAAAAATATTTTCCTGGGAGTAAGCCCCATTGACTAGACTCAGCTACGAATCCTGCCCTGCCATGGACAGCCCTGGCTAGCGTGATCTTGGCCGGATCTCAGAAGATAAGCAGGATCAGCCCTGGTTAGTACATGGATGGGAGACCACCAAGGGAAGTCCAGGGTTGCTATGCAGAGGCAGGCAATGGCAAACCACCTCTATTCATCTCTTTTCTTGAAATAATACAGCCGCAACTTGACGGCACTTTCCATCACCAGGAGTCTAAGCAGACCTGCTTGAGACTGCTGGCCTAGTTGGTCTAACACATTACTTGAGAGTTATGCCCTACAGAAAGGTGCAGGACTATTTACACCATGCATAAGTCACTACCAGTGTTCCCTCTAAGCTGAGTTAGTGTGAGCGAGCTCACAGTTCTTTAGCCTCCGGCTCACACATTTTTGTCCTGGCTCAGGAAGGAGGGCTTCAGAGCAAACTAAATCATGCAGCAGCCAAATCGCTTGCTCCCAACTTTAATGCCAGGAGCTCACAAAGTAGAATGTTTGCTCACAAGGCTCCACAGCTTAGAGGGAACGTTGGTCACTACCACAAATTATGGCAAGGAGCACCAACTGAGACAAAGACAGCCACTGTTGGAACTGTTAGGCATGATGGCTAACTGGACCCATGCCCCACCCTCATGCATCCAGAGGAAGTGCACCTCTGAAAGCCAGCTGCTGGAAAACAACAACAACAACAACAAGAGGGAAGACTGCAGACTTTTGCCCAGCTTGTGGGATTCCTAAAGACATCAGGTTGGACACTGCAGGAAACAGGCTAGAATGAAATGAGAACGTTAAGAGGAGAGCTGTCCGTAAAAGGCAGGAAGGAGTCGCCAAGGAGGAAGGATCTCCTGACTGCTTCCAAGAGAGCTGAGAAACAAGAAGTATGGATGTTTGTCTACCTTCCTTCCATCTTTCTCAGAGGTCATTTGGGGGGGATCGTGGGGGATCGCAGTGCCCCCGGGTGAGGTACGGGGGGCGGGGCACATGACGAAGCCCCGCCCCCTGCTTCCGGCCGCCCCGCTTCCGGCCCTCATTCAGCCAAGAGGAGGCAGGAGAAGAGGGAGGGTAAGTTGCTTCCTCCCTGCCTCTCCCCACCCCTGCCTGCCTGGGGCCAGGGAGGGCCTTCGCGGGGCTTCCTTGCACTCCCGCCGGCCTTGCAGGTCCACCGCCGGGCCCCTCATGGGGCTCGGCAGTGGAGCTACAAGGCCAGCGGTGGCGGCCGGGACCGTTGGGGGTGGGGTGTGTGGCCTTATGACACACTTCAGGTGATGTCAGGGGGTGTGGCCTTATGACACACTTCCGGTGATGTCAGGGGGTGTGACATATGCTAATGAGTTATGCTAATGAGTTCCCCTAGCTCTTTTTCTACAAAATGACCCCTGATCTTTCTTAAGGTTTGTGTGGGCCTGGAGGGTACAGAAGGGTGTGAAAAGCATACGATCCCTATCCCCCTTTGTGGACACAAGACTCAAGCAAGCAAAGGAGAAGGCTTTACAGTGGCTGGAGTGCTTTTGCTGTTACCTTAGCTGCATACTCATCCGTTTCAGACTGGGCCCTTACCCTCCTGATGAATCTTTCTGTTGCCCCTGATTGCCGTAGGACTCCTGGCCGTAGGAGCTCGGGTTCTGATTTTCATAACCGCCATAACCTTGCTGGCCACTTTGCCCATAACCTGAAGAGCCAACAGGGAATGCTTTCAGTAAAACGGGCACATCTGAACGGTGCACATGTGCAGAAATGTCAGCATGCTTGTCAGACCTGTCTGGGTTTGTCCGTAGTTGCCTTGATAGCTTCCGTACCCTTGCCCATATGAGGAACTCTCCCCGCTCTGCTCGTAGCCAGGGTAAGCCTGTAATCGACAGCAAGATGGCAAAGGAGAGATAAGGCCCCACAGCCGCACTGTCACAGACTGGGCGGTTGAGACAAGTGGCCTCAATTGGCCGGAGGTGCCTGAACTGCAGAACAGCTAACTGCGTTTAGAGGCAAGTGGAGCCACGTATACACTGCTCAGTGAGAGCCTGGCCCGTTCTCAACACCTGTCTTCCAATCAGTCACCATGTCTGACAGCTGTCAGATGCCTGCTTTGAGAACACACATGGCGTGGGACCTGACTTTCAATATGACTGTGTTCAATGCTGGTTAGTTCTCTTAGGGCCAAGCCATGATAAACTGGGGGGATGCGTGGCCACCGCAGCAGCCGTACGAGATTAATCCATGCTTATTTTGCAGTTTCAGCTTCTAAGCTGACAATTTGCCCTCCCATCCATTGCATCTTCCCTCTTGGTCGTGAGCAAAGAGCTCTCTTAGGCCAGTCCTCCTGCAAACTTCCTCAGAGGAGCTCAGGAGGAGGCAGAAAAAGGCATCCAACTCTTGGCAACAGAACCCTTTCTGCCCGTAAAGAGCCCACAGCCGCTTGCAGCTTTAAAGGAACGGCACGAAGCTGGTCAGTCTGCCTACCTGTGGCGGTTGTCCAAAGTTCTGATTTCCTTGGCTGCCATACCCTGTATAGCTGCAAGAGAAACGTAGGATGTTTCAAATGAATGCTGTTTTCACATGGAACCTCTCTGGGATTCTGCTGCTGAAACTGTACCTGCCCATTGGCATTAACTCACCAGAACGTGATCTGCAGCTCTGGCTTTTACTGGCAAGCCGAGTTGCATGGGAGAGGGTGACAAGCGCTTGTGGCCCTGAAAGTCACCAACTGGTGAAACTGGGTTGCTGGCAGCCCTCCCTTCTAGCTACCTACAATGGGATCTGGAAAGGGAGATTAAAAGCATCTGAGATTCGCCTCTTGTGGGCACTCCCAGGACAATCAAGGGCACAGCTGATCCTTTGGCTGGTTTTGTCATTAACGGCCAAAGAAGAATGCACACTTCTCCCCCGCAAGAATTGAACAGGAAATAGCAGTACGCCACTGAGAGGAAAGGAATGGAGCAGAGACGGTGTGGGTCTTACATTGCAGTTTGCATTATGTGAGCTAGGCCCAAGAGGATTATAAATAGACAGGAACCGTGAACAAAAAGACATACAAAATTCAGGTGGTCCCCCGAACATATAGAGGCATACCTTCTGAGGGGGAAACCCATTTTCCTCCAAGAGGTTTTACAATATTTTAACTGAGCACACGTACCTCTGCTGCTGACCGCCAGAATGGCTGAAACTTCCAGAATCTTAAAAATAAAAGGAAATGTTTTTGGTTTAAGCGAACAGGAGTCCAGCTAGAAATCCACCCAACAAGTTAACTTTATATCCAAATATGCTCCTGAAGCATGAGTCTATTTTTTTACGATGAGTATCCGAAACAATTCTATGCACTGATGTTACTTTGATTTATATTCAGACTATGCAGAGTCCTCTGGCAGTCACTTCAGTACTTCTATGAGAGATAGAAGCAGGGATTCTTAAAGTTCATCATAGTGATGCCTCCCAAGGAAAAATAATGTTTCAGCTCCATTGAAGTGAAAATAAAAACAGAAGCAAGTTGGCTTGGGGAGTTTACTGTTGCTCCAATGGACCACGAGGAGACAATCAGGTTGGGGGAGGGCTGATTTAACCAAAATTATCTTGCAACTGCTCTAGACACATGGACTTAGTGCATGCTTACACACCCCGATAGGTATGCCACTACCTCTTAAGCTAGTGGGTAACAGTGGTGGCACTTGGTCTTTGAACACTGCAATGGGAGGTTCAGATGGCCTCCTGCTTGCCGTACTTCTACCTCAGGTCTAGCTGCTTCTACTTCAGCACACCTTGGAGTTGGATTTAGGCATCCATTAAGGATTATGGGCTTTTGGATATATTTGCGGTATATTGGTTCCCTGCCATTTTCAATCTGACGTGTCATTTCAGAGCTGTTTTGGTATTTTTCTACTTGGATTATTAAACGCCTTGAACACCACCATATCAGGAAGGAAAGCAGGGATAAGGAAGCGTTTTAATGAAAAAAAAAACCACAAGGGTGTGCAAAGTATTACTTAATGGAAGCAAGTTCAGAAAGCTTGTGATACAGCCACTTCTCTAATGCTAAACATGGCTGGCCAGGGTGGGAGACAGCCTGGGAAATCCATGTACACATTCATAGCGGAAGAAAGGCGGGTCAGAAATGTAGGAAGCTAATCTATGGGCTCATCCTGGCCCCTTCAACTAGCACAAGAACTCCAGGATAGTCTGTGTAGCATGAGCTATGGGACGTAACCAATATGCAAAAGGTGGGTTGAGAAGTACTTGTGATTTCCTTTACTAAGAGTGAAGAGAACCAGTGCGGTATAGCGGTTACGAATGTCGGACTAGTACCTGGGAGACTCAGGTTCAAATTCCCACTTGTGCCATGGAACCTCACCGGGTGACCCTGGGCCAGTCATATTCTCTCAGCCTAACCTACCTCACAGAGGAGAGAATTATATGAATTTCCTGCACGGTGTAAGGGGTTGGACTAGATGACCCTTGAGGTCCCTTCCAGCTCTGTGTTTCTGTCTTGTAAGCCACTTTGGGTCCCCACTGGGGGGAAAGGCAGGGTACAAATTAAATAAATAAAAGCTACTCACAGTGGAGGTAAGCCTCCCAGATTAGTAACCTGGTTTTAGGCTGATCAAAAGGGACCGCCAGGAACGAAGCATAAGACCACAAACAACCAGGTGAGCCTTCCAAAACATTCTCAAGCAGAATAAGATTTTAGCATCTGTGTATCCTGCAAGCTGCCATGAAGCATGTAAACACCTTCCCATTAAAAGAAAAGGTTCTCTTCTGACCACCAGAGATCTTATGAGTTGCTCTTAAAACCATATTTGGCTACTGTTGAGTGTGTTCAATATCAGATCTCAAACATTTTGAAATGGTGAGGGGGCCACAAGGTAGAAGCAGTTCTCTCTCACACACACAGGGTTCAAAATTGTTGAAAATCACTGAGGATTAGCCCTGACCTGAAGAAGAGGAGATTGGATATATACCCCGCCCTTCACAACCCAAAGAGCGGCTTACAAAGTCCTTTCCCTTCCCCTCCCCACAACAGACACCCTGGGAGATAGGTGGGGCTGAGAGAGCTCTGACAGAAACTGCTCTTGTCAGAACTATGGCTTGCCCAAGGTCATCCAGCCAGGTGCAAGTGGAGGAGTGGGGAATCAAACCTGGTTCTCCCAGATTAGAGTCCGCACACTTAACCACTACACCAAACTAGCTCTCTGAATAACCCAGGCAAGCCTGATCTCGTCAGATCTGGGAACTTAAACGGGGTCAACTCTGACAAGTATTTGGATGGGAAACCTCCTTGAAATACCAGCAGTTGGGAGGACAGGGACAGGTTTTATTCAGCCACCTCTCTGAATATCCACCTCTCTGTATCCCACTAGGGGCCAGTCACCAGAGGTCTCCATGACTTCCAGGTGTACACACACTCACACACGCGTACACATATGAAAATCACAGAAGAAATACCGAAAAGAAAATCACTAAGGATTTTTTCCTCCGCTACAGGTGTTAACAGTAGAAGATGGACTGTTAATGGGACACACAGTTGCTTGCCTGAAGGGCAGTTTTAGACACCATGAATGAGGTGGGGGGAGGGGGAGAATACCGCCACTATAAATACCTCCTCTGGGACATCATTAGCTGTTTAACAGTGTTTACAAGTGTTTGCGAGAATCCTGCTTACATTTGGGGAGGTGTTTCTAAGAACTGGTTTCTCATGCTGAGTTTCTAAGACCTGCTCAGCTATCGCTTCCACAAGAAGCCAAATCCTGCCTGAACCTTCTGCCACAAAAAGGGGCTTTTAAACAGATTTTCTACAACCACATGGAAGGCCCACATTTGACCGCTGACAAACACCACAATGTGAGCGGCTTAAGTGCTCCTTCCAGTCGCGACCACAACGGTGGTGAAAAGTGCCATCAAGCTGCAATCCAACTTACAGCAACCTTGCAGAGTTTTCAAGGCAAGAGATGTAGCTACCCTGGACTTCCTTGGTGGTCCTCCCATCCAAGTACGAGCCACGGTTGACCCTGATTAGCTTTTGAGATCTGACAAAACCAGACTAGCCTGGATCATCCAGGTCATGGCAGCAAACTCAATAGCTTTGCACTTCTAGAGTTGCTAGAGAGGAGTTAATGTTGAGAAGTTTGCCTACGATCAACTGAGTTCAAGGCACAGGTAAGGACTGAAGTGGGGAATCCCTCCCTCTGAGGTTAGCCACAGCCACTGCAGTGTCTCACAAGACCCAAGATTTCCCCACTTGAAATCTCACCTCATCTCCGAGCATCCCAGGAAAACTACTCTCTCTAAGCCTCATCACCCTGCTTTCCCATCTACAGTTGGGCATCTGTGTTTATCCCCCACCTCCATCCCCAATCTTGAATTTTACATCACAAGATCCTTACAAATTCACCTAAGGAAATGATTGCTACCATCCTCAGAGACCATCTTGTCTGCATGGAGCACTTTATCTGTTTGTGTGATCTAATGGTTTTATTGTTTTATATTGTGTTATGTATGGGCTTATGCCCCTGTGTAAGCCGCCCTGAGCCCGTTCGCGGGGAGGGCGGGGTAAAAATGCAAATAAATAAATAAATAAAATAAACAAGTGTAAAAAGATTGTTGAAAGTGCTTCTCATACTCTATCCCCCACCTCCCCTGCTCTTATAACAACCCTGTCTTGCAGACAAAGATAATAAAATGATGATAATCCATCTTTCAGATTTGCTGTAACAGTTCAACATATAATGTATCTTTTCTGTTAGATTCAAGTCCAGAAGCACCTTAGAGGCCAACAAGATTCTGGGGGTATAAGTTTGGTGTAGTGGTTAAGTGCGCGGACTCTAATTTGGGAGAACCGGGTTTGATTCCCCACTCCTCCACTTGCACCTGCTGGATGACCTTGGGCAAGCCATAGTTCTGGCACAGCTGTTCTTGAAGAAGAGCGCGGAAAAGAGCGGTTTCTGTCCGAGCTCTCTCAGCTCCACCCACCTCACAGGGTGTCTGTGCCGTGATAATGGTAAGGCTGGCCTAGATGGGTTTGATCTAGTGTCAAAGTAAAGTGACAGCTAGAGGTAGCTTGTGACTGCAAGGAGGCTGGCCACAACAGGTTTGAGGCAGTCCAGCCTGGCACTAAAGGTATTGCAGGAGGATTGCATCAGCTGTGTGCTGATTGGCCAGAGGTTGTATAAATGTACAGAGTGTACAGTGGACTTTTCCCTTCACATGAATCGATTGCAGCGGAGCACTTTGACACTCAGAACTGTATATAGGTGGTGGATGGGTGGGAATAAATTCACTGTCTTTGCACCTAAATTCTGGACTCCAGTCTTCTGTGGGTACTCTAACTCCCTTTGGGCACTGACGTGCCAGCCAGCATTCCGCGCACCGTGACAGTCTGTTGTTGGGAGGAGAAGGGAAAGGAGTCTGTAAGACTCCTTTGGGTAGCGAAGGGCAGGGTATAAATCCAATCTCTTCTTCTTCTTCTAGAATCAACGCCCACAGATACCTGACGAAAGGAGCTTTGACTCTCAAAGGCTCATCCCCCCCCCACCAAGATCTTATTGGTCTCTAAGGTGCCTACTGGACTCGAGCTCAACTGTTCTACTGCAGACCAACACAGCTTTCCTCTGGAATTCTCTTCTGAAGGGCCTTTGATTTCAGTTGATTATGGTAGTTGTTAGTGTTAGCTGGCTTTGGATTCTGTTGGCCTACAAACTTTGCTTTTCTAGTATCATGATGTGGGGTGGATGAACGTAAGAGAAGCCAACGGCCCATCCAGTCCAACCCTCTGTCACACAGTGGCCAAAAATACCAGGTGCCATCAGGAGGTCCACCAGTGGGGACAGGACACTAGAAGCCCTCCCACTGGTGCCCCCCCAGCACCAAGAATACAGAGCATCCCCTGCCCCAGACCGAGAGTCCCTATTTATACCTTGTGGCTAATAGCCACTGATGGACTTCTGCTCCATGTACTTATCTAATTCCCTCTTGAAGCCGTCCATGCTTGTAGCCGCCACCACCTCCTGTGGCAGTGAATTCCATGTGTTAATCACTCTTTGGGTGAAGAAGGACTTCCTTCTGTTCTAACCCGACTGCTCAGCAATTTCATTAAGTGCCCATGAGTTCTTGTATTGTGAGAAAGGGAGAAAAATACTTCTTTCTCTACCTGCTCTATCCCATGCATATACAGATTCTGGAGAGACGGCTAAGTTTTCTTTTACGAACCTTAAACCCTGACTGTTAGAGTTAAGCTGCATTTAAAACTGACAAATAATGTTGTGATTATATTCTGTATATGGACCTATGTTTTGATATAAGCTGATTTGTATTTCACAGCAGCTATGATATATTTTAAAACTGTTCAAAAGTTTTCACATCCTCTCGCTAGAACCCTTACAACATCCCTGCAAAACAGGCAAGTACAAACATCATCATTAACAAATCTTACTTAGGTTTGCAAGAACATCTCCAAGACAGCACACATAAAATGCTTCAAGTAACCTTCCTATATCCTCAGAACCCTTTAAAGTAGGCAGTAACAGTGATAGTGCAAATCTACCCTAAAAGTTGTTAATAATCGTTACAAAATACTTTATACAAAGCCCTACACATACTCTTCCTGAAAGTAGTACGCAATTGCATTCTTGCTCTACAAACTTCCCCCAAAACAACAAGCGGGGGGGGGGGCAGGGAATACACCAATACTGCTAATAAATTCACCTTCTCACAGGGCTGTTGTCATATTTCCAAGATAATTCACAAGACTACAATACTCGAAGAGTGCTAACCAAAACACTTTTATTTACTACGTTCTTCCTTTGTAAAGCATTACCCGTATTCTCCAGTAGACTTATGCAAGCACTAAGTATATATTAATATTTACTAAGTTTTGTCCATAAATAAAACCCATTGTTAGTCCAGGTCAAGCGCACGAGGAGGCAACGCAAAATCCCACACTAAAGTCCAACCCACTCCGGAGCCAAGAGAGTCTTTGAGCTGAAGGGAGGAGCCAAGCGCAGGACACGAGTGCGCAGGCGTAGCCCCATCCAATATGGCGGCAGCCAGGCCCCGCTCAGCCCCGCCGCCTGCGCCACACCACGCCCCCCTCTTTTCTTGGCCTCCGCCTCCTCTCAGGCGCCCGGTCATCACGAAGGGAGAAGGCGAAAAACCTACCCGAGGCCATTGCAAGCCAAAGAGGCCGTGGACGAAACGGCAAAGGCGGGAGAAAGTGGCCGCCGAGCGACCAGCTCGTCGCTCGCTTCCTTCGCTGACTGACCGACTCTGGCGGCAGCGGCGTCGACTGCGGGGCGGCGGGACCAATCAGAGCGCGCGCTAAGCAACGGGGAGGAGGAAAAGCTGTGGGACGTACCATTTCGCCAGCGAAATGAGGGGAGAAGAGGAGAAAGCGCGAAATAAGTGCTAACGATGACAGCCGAGAGGGAGGGAGTTCCAAAGTGAGCCATACCACCGAGAGAGAGAGGGGGGTGGGAGGTGGATGTACCACTTTTGCTTCAGTGAGATGAATATTACCCAATTACAATTCTTATCAATTTCGACTGATCAACTCTTAAAGGAAACATTCCATCTTGACCTCTCTAATAACAGAACCCAAGGTCTTCACAAAGTATTAGCTGTTTTCTAGAAGCCAAACATAAAGTCTCCACTGCTAATTGATTGTTACTTACTCAGATAAAGCAATTATTGTGAAACAAATTGTTTACATTGGGCAGCATTCATTGTGTGTGAGCGATAATAAAAGAAAGAATTTGCTACAGTAAATTATTTTTTTGCAAACATCTTTATTGACTCTTTGTTATTTTTGTCACTGATGTTGTTTTTGGATTTCCACTTCCTCACCGATCTCTCATTTTTTACTTCCACCTTGCAGAAGCCAGCAGCTGGAAATACATTGTCATTTTTTGTGGCCAAAATGGCCAGCCTGTCCACCTGGCAGGGACAGTAAAGTGTTTTACAGATGGTATTTAACACCAGACAGATTAGCTAAAATGTATAAAAATATATCAAATAATTGTTGGAAGTGTAAAAACATGTGGGTACGTTTGATCATATGTGGTGGACATGTGATATACTGTGTAAGTTTTGCGTTATGGTACATACTTTTATACAGACAGTTTTGCAGATCTCAGTACCTTTTCGACCAGAATTGTTCTTATTGCAGAAAACTTTGACAAAAATGAAAGGTATCTTATCATTTATGTAGTAGCTGCAGCTAGAAACTTATTTGCAACTTATTGGAAACTTCCATCAACACCTACTGAACATGACCTAATAGTGAAGATTATGGAAAGTGCAGAAATGGACAAGCTGACCTGGATGTTGAAAGGGCAAATGGAAGAAGACTTTGTTGGACTATAGAGTCCATTTTATAATTGGATAAGAGAAAAATATAAAGTTATGAACTTCCTAATATTATATTAAGAAGCTTTTATGAACTTTTGAACCTCGCAGCTTATCTGTGTATAATATGAAATGACAAGTAGAGGAAAGTTACATGCAGAAAATTATTATATGTTTTCCCCCCTGCCCCTTTCCCTTCCCCTCTCCGTACCCTTGTATATTTTAAAAAATTAATACAAATCTATTCCAAAAAAATCAGGTTGCGGAATATCATCCTTTAAAGGGACGCACTAAAACTAAGGACAGCGATTGCCCATAGGCAGTACATGATTGCCCATAGAGAATGCATGATTGCCTATAGGGAATAATGGAGTACATAATTGCCAATAGAGAATCCATGATTGCCCATACGGAATAATGGAGAGTAGGCTTGCCCATAGTGAATAATGGAGTACATAACTGCCAATATGGTGTAGTGGTTAAGAGTGCGGACTCTATTCTGGGAGAACCGGGTTTGATTCCTCACTCCTCCACTTGCACCTGCTGATGTGACCTTGGGTCAGTCACAAGCTCTGGCACAGCTGTCCTTGAAAAAGAGCAGTTTGTGTCAGAGTTCTCTCAGCCCCACCCACCTCACAGGGTGTCTGTTGTGGGGAGGGGAAGGGAAAGGAGTTTGTAAGCTGCTCTGAGACTCCAAGTGAAGGGTGGGGTATAAATCCAATCTCTTCTTCTTATTCAATAGAGAATCCATGATAGCTTGTAGGGAATAATGGCGAGCATACTTGCCCATAGAGAATAATGGAGCCAACACTTGCCCATCTTCTTCTTCTATATTTATAAAAGAAAGTCCCCTCACCATAAAATCTAGACCTAGAGACACCAAATTCGAGGAGAGCATTCCTACCGTGGCGTAGGTGCTCACTAAGAAGGGATTTTTAGGAATTCGACCCCTAAGTGGGTCAAAAGGGGTAAAATGTGCTCCTCCTATTGATTCCTATGCGGCTGCCAGGCAGCTACCTCCCTGCACCCCCCACTCTCTGATTGGTCAGCTGCAGAGCTCAGTGTTTTGAGGTTAAAAAACAGTTACAGGAAACTGCAAAGAGCTAATGACAGCTGAAGAATTCAGAAGTGGCCAACAACCACCTGTGAGGTGATGCAAAGCTGCTGGCCCAGCCTCTCTGATGGCTTCCAACACCCCCCCACCTCCTACACCTAACAGGCGGTTGTCTGTCAGGTGCAGCCCCACCTCCACAGTGGCTTCTAATACTCCTCCCTTCTCCCCCTCCTACACTGGACAGGCAGCTGCCTGTCAGGTGTAGGAGAGGAGGTGGGACACTTACAGCTGCCAGGGAGGTTTGCTCAGCAGGATTACCTTAGCACTGCTGCTGGCCTTGCCTCCTGTTGCCTTTAAATACAATCCCCCCCACACACCAGATAGGCCGGTGTCTGTCATGTGTAGGAGCAGGAGCAGGGTACTTTAAACCATCAGGGACACCGCCCCAGCAGGATCACCTTAGCGATGCTGCTGGCCCAGCCTCTTTGATGGCTTCCAACACACTCCCCCACCTCCTACAACTAACAAGCGTTTTGTCTGTCAGGTGCAGCAGTAGTTGCAGTGTGCTTAAAGCCATGAGGGAGTCTGCCCCAGCAGTAACGCCTTAGTGATCCTGCCAGCCCTGCCTACACAGTGGCTTCTAGTACTCCTCCCCCCTCCCCATCCTACACTAGACAGGCAGCTAGCAAGTGTGCCTTCTCCACTGGCAAGTGTGCCTTATTCCCTAAGGGCAAGGATGCACTCTCTATCAGCAATCACATATTGCCTATGGGCAATCGCTGTCCTTAGGACAAGCCTGGTCTCCATTATTCCCTATGGGTAAGCGTAGACTATGTAATTCCCTATGGACAATCATGAATTCTCCATTGGCATTCATGTATTGTACATCGGCAATCGCTGTCCTTATTGGGCAAGCTGGGTCTCCCTTATTCCCTATGGGCAAACGTGGTCTCCATTATTCTCCATGAGCAACCGTAGATACCATTATTCTCTAAGGGTAAGTGTGCTCTCCATCATTCCCTATGGGAAAGTGTAGTCTCCATTGTTCTGTATGGGCAAGCGTGCTGTCCATTACTCCCTATGGACAAGCGTGGTCTCCATTATTCCAGATGGGCAGGAGTAGTGTTCATTACTCTATATGGGCACTGAAATCAGGAAATACAGATGCCTGCTGTGAAATGTTTTTCCCTTCCATGGCACTGCAATGACAACATGCTTTATTTTCAAGATGTGCTGACTGCAGAAGCGCGTTATGCATTTGGACAGGGCTTTTTAGTGCTTAATCAGAAACAAAAAACAGCTCACTATATATTCTACCTCACCGTCATGCCCCCCCCCCGTTCTATTCTGATGGTTGGCTCCCAGCACCCATTTCAGAAAAGGGCACGATGGGCCCTTCCTTCATGAATGCAGAGTCAGAGGGCTTGCATGATGAGTGACTTAGTAAAGCAGACAGGAGTCGGCAAAAGCATTCCCTGCAGCAGCGCTTGACCGATTTACTCTGGAGTAGTCCTGGCATCATCCACCACTTTACCCCAGTGTAAGTGAAAGTAATAGCCCCAACATTTCCCCTTCCATTTGGCATTTGTGGTGCACCTTGGCACATTCCTAAACTCTTCTGCTCCCCAGGAAATTCTTTTGGCATCTCCCATACTGGGATTGCAGAAGAGCCCCTTGATATCCCGTTTGCATATCCTTCTAGCACCAGAACTGCTAGCTAAATGCCCAACGCCTTAAAATATTCAAAGTCTGGAAGTCTATTTTCACCTCCACCTTCCATTGTCGTGGTTAAGAGTTCTGGACTTAAGGTTTGAATTAGATCTATTAGTATGTGTATGAAGGTGAGCAGAGGTACATCTGGGAAACAGTTAAACTGACTCCCCCCCCCCCCCCCCCCCCCCCCCCCCCCCCCCCCGGGGAGGAAAGGGGATTACAGATATCTAAATAAACACCTTTGAAGCCCGCCTCTATGCAGCCTCCATTGGGAGTGAGCCTCACTGAGTTTCAAGGCGTTTACACCTGCTCTAGATGGCAGCCTTATAAGGCCCTTGCCCTCTTGGGACACGGCTATCTCTACTACGATGCTCTGAAGACAGACAAAAACTTCTCCTCCCCCCACCGCAGTTTGTTGTCTATGCATCCATCCTCTCCTGAAAGCCAGATTAACAAAGGGGGAGGGGGGCTCTCAGCAAACCGTCTCTCAAGTCGACAATGCAAACAACTTTTGTCCCCTGACTCTGCTTTAAGTCGACAAGAATTTCGAATCTCTGCTGCCCATCCTAGAATGCGTTCCCTGATTACTTTTCCAGATGAAAATTTACTGTCATGACTGGAGAGGTGTGACTCTGGGGCATTAATTTTTTAAAAAAACTCCATTCACATCTAAGGGCCAGGAGATTTGTCCTGGAGCTGGGTTCAAATCCCATTCCGGGAAGACGAACCGATTATTTACAAACGGGGGCAACAGCGACACGGGGCTGGCAAGGAAAAGAGAGCCCAAAACAGAAAAGGAAAGCAGTGTGCACACTCTCAAAGTCTGCCCAGATGATCAATAGGAGGCATACAAAGTAAATACGCGCGCTTTGAGGATAAGGGGATACCGGACATCAGGTGGGGAAAGCGCAAGAACTGCGGTGATTGCCTTCTTCAAAGGCAAGCTCTGATGAGTTCAGAGTCCGGCGGCACCTTCAAGACCAACGAACTGTTACTCTGGGTCCTGGACCCCGAAGCATCGCCTTTCAGGGCTTCCCTGCCCCCCCCTCCCCCCGGGGAAAGGCGCTGCTTTGGGGTCCTGGATCTGACAGGGGGCGTGGAGAAGAAGAGACCGCTGGCAACTGTGGTGGGTGGGGCTGTAATTTCCACCAACCAATCACCCATCGAGGGAATTATGCGCATGCGTATCGCGAGAAGAAACTTGTCTGCCGCTCGCCCGTCTGGAAATCGAACGTGGGCGTGGCTCACTCGGGGCGCCCGCGAACGGCGTTTCTATGGCAACGCGAGGACCTACGTGTTGGGCGTTGCTGTTTCCAATGGGGAAGGGGGACGTGTGACCGCCGCTTCCTCGTTGCCGTGGTGACGCCGGTGTCCATAATCCGGAAAGAAAACACGCCAGAATCGGAAATGGTCTGTAGCCGGAAGTAAGGAGGCAGACGCGGCTGGAGAATGGAGCGGGTTCCTGTGGCTACCTGCCTTACCGTGCTGCTTTCTTTCCTGGTTTCCTGGCCGGGCCTGTTTCAATGGGGCGCGGAGGTGGCGCCCGAAGACTCCGCCTTTTCGCTACGGCCTGAGGCCGTGCGGCAGTGGCAAGGTGAGGACAGGTCCGCCCCGTAGAGCACTAAGGTCCACCTATCAACATCTTCTGGTGATCCCTGGCCCAGGGACCTCCGACTTGCCCCTGCCTGGTGGAATGAGCTCCCAACTGAGATCAGGGCCCTGCGGGATTTGCTACAATTTTGCAGGGCCTGCAAGACGGAGCTCTTCCACCGGGCTTTCGGTTGAGGCAGTGGGCGTCCTCCTCCTTGGGTCGGCCCTCATTTGCAGCCTGGGTCTGAGATCCTAAACTTTACAGATCTCTGGGAAACTTATTCCCAGTACTATATACCACTGAGGTATCTGGCTTTTATCAGAGCTGTCTGTTTTACATGTTTTATGTGGTTTTAATTGTATAGTATCGTATAGTCCCGGCCACACGGCGAATTTGCCGCGGGAAAGCCAAGGGTGGTGGGCGGATTATCGGTGCGCGATCACACCGCAACATCTGGTAAGTGGAGCACACCTATGGCCAAACCGTGGCATACCGCCGAAAAAGTGCAATAAAAAAACAGCACCTCCTATGTAGTGGCAAAGGGTTTGCCACTGGCTGCCTCTGGACTCCTGCGGTGTGATCGCGCCGGCCCCTCATTAATGCGCAGGCGGGGAGGACGCGTGGGATTCCGCAGGGCCTGGCGGCTCTAATTGCACCGGAGCAATTAGCCACGCCTCCCCCCCCCCGTGTGACCGGGGCCTATATTGTTGTATTTATTTACACTGTTGGAATTTATTTACACTGTTATTTATTTACACTGTTGTATTTATTTACACTGAGCCCATCAAGGGGAGGGTGGGATAAAAATCCAAATAAATAAATAAAAATAAAAATCTAGGGTTGCCAGCTCCCTCCAGGTTGGGAAATACCTGGAGATTCTGGGGGTGGAGCCTGAGGAGGACAGGATTTGGGGCATAATGCCATAGACTCCAAGCTCAAAAGTGGCCGTTTTCTCCAGGTGAACTGATCCCTGCCACCAGGAGATCAGTTGTAATAGTGGGAGATCTCCAGCCACCACCTGGAGGTTGGCAACTATACTTCTGTCAGACCCTTCACTTGCTGCTTTTTATATGGAAGGTTGTTCGTCCTGGGGAATCAAGGGAGAGTCTCCGCATACATGTGCAGTCTACCTCTGATACAGTCAGGGCACCCTGTCCTTCCTAACCCGCTTCTGGGTTTCTCAGGAGCAGCTTCTAATGGAGTAACTAGTTCTAATGGAGTGAGGGGATTAAAGTTCTTTGTGCCCTTGTAACTTTCCTAGAGGCCTCTGAATGGGCAGTATTAGAAATAGGATGTGGAGCTTTAATGGGCCCTGGGCCTTGTTCAGCACGGCACGTCTCACATTCTTAAGCTGCTGAGGAACTCTTCCTGGCTTCCTTCTCATCTCTTTTCCCCAATCCACAATTCAGCAGTCTTGAGTCATCCTTTAACTCACCTTTTACTAGTTAGTAGTTTGTAAGTCAGTCTACCAAAAATAATTAGACGAAGGAATTAGTCCCAAAAAGAAGAAAAAGGGATTTCTTTTCTCTCAAATTAGCTCCATCTTCTCAGCCCCTTTCTCACTTCTGCCTTAGACTTTCCTTTGCTAAACTGCCATCCCCTGCACACTTGTTGAAGGCCTCCCTCTCCTGGTAGCCACCTGTCTTAGCTCCCTCTCCTGGTAGCCACATTTGCAGTGTAGCACTGACCTGGCAATGCATATGTGCACAGTGCTCAGCTGCTTGGAAGTGCGCCCAGATCACAAGGCTCCCAGAAAATAGTCTGCTCCCTCCAAACCCATCATAACAGCCATTGGTTCTTTCTTTCTCCAGCCTGTCAAAACCACCCTAGCTAAATAATCCTCTCTTCTGGACTGATTCTGTCCCACGACATTTCCTGTTAGCTGCATCTTCTCTAAAACAGCCTTTTCTGTTCAGTCCATAGGCTGGTGACATACATCTTTGTGTATGAGGATGTGATCTCTTTGGTGTGTGGTGCTGTCATCGTCTGGTACTTTGCCGGTGGCTTTGAGAAGAACATGGGCACCGTGAAGCACTGCTTCTGCACTGTGACATTCGCCTTTTCCTCAGCCCTATTGTACCTTGTGCTTCGGGCCATTGTGTCTGGACTGCTGGAGATGGAGGATGCCAAAGGGTTCATGCCTGTGGCTTTTGCTATGCTCGGTGTCTCCATCACCCGCTCCCGAATGAAAAGGACAGTGCTATTTGGAGTCTACTTCCCTATGTTACTTGTGCCATGGATGTTGCTTTGTGTGGCATGCCTGATTCCACATACCTCTTTCCTGGGGAATATCTGTGGCCTCTTAATTGGGGAAGTCTGTATCCTTTGAGCAGAAAGCTGAAAGTAAATCTTGCTATCTACTGAATCCTGACCATATTAATTGCTACAACCCCGTAAAGTAAAAGAGAGCATGATAATTGAATGCCAATCGATGGGGCAGTAAAATGGGGCCACTCACTGGCAAGGTTGGGGTTTCTGTGTGTTTTGGGTATACTGGAAAATATTACTTAGTAAATTATAAAAACAAACACACATGCTCCTGGCATGCTGATGGGACTGAGCATGTTTTAGCAGGCATGGAATGCGAAGAGCAAGTGAGAGTCAAGAAAAGGGGAAGAGGCAGTGGGAAAGAGAGAGGGGAGGATGGGGATATTTTAGCTTTTAGAACAAGAGAAGAAGAGATTGGATTTATACCCCGCCCGTCACTACCCAAAGGTGTCTCGGAGCGGCTTACAAACTCCTTTCCCTTTCCCTCCCCACAGCAGACACCCTGTGAGGTAGGTGGGGCTGAGAGAGCTCTGAGAGAAACCTCTCTTTTTCAAGGACAGCTCTTATCAGAGCTATGGCTTGCCCAAGGTCATCCAGCCAGGTGCAAGTGGAGGAGTGGGGAATCTAACCTGGTTCCCCCAGATTAGAATCTGTGCACTTAACCATTACACCAAATTGGCGCTCATAGGATCCCGGCGTTGGAGATTTGGGTTGGACATTTCCATATGATTTCTTTCTCCCACAATTAGAGATGTGAGATTTCCAGAAATTTTGAAGCTGGTGTGAGACACATACGTAAAAGGTGAATTTCCAACTTCCCAGAAGGGCCTCCCTGGTTGCTAGGTTACAGACTGATAGTGTCTGGGAAGCCTGCCTGTTGCATTCCTGCTTATCTAAACAAGCTGTGGCTCTTTGCTGTTGCTGGTACTGGGATGCTAGAAAAGGGGGCCTGAAGACCCCAGCCAAGATAAAATGCATCCATTTAGAACATGCTTAGGGTATAAGATGGCAATATTTGACATATTTATGGAATTTAAAAGTTATAAGTGCCTTAGGAGGCTGCTGGAAGCAGCAGGCATTGGCCATACAGCCCTAACAAGTGCAGTACTTGACTCGCAATTCATACCTGCAGAGGACTCCACTTCTCTGTCTGGAGGGGCCCATTCTGAGTCCTGCCATCTCAGCACTCTCTGTGACATTGCAGTGTGTCCAGGGTATGGCTCTGGGATCGTAAGGTGTAGGCCTTTTGGGATGGCAAATCCCTCGAGCAGGCCCTGAACCTCTGACTGTATCATCCGGTTTCCTTTTGCAGGGCAACTATGGCCGTCTCTTGGAAGATATATGTTTAAGAGATTAGATGCCCAGGCTTCTTTTCCCTTTCCGGCACCTGCCTTTTTGACATAGTTCTCCTTAATGCACTGCCACGCTCAGACGGTTGCGGCTACTGTTTTGGCTTGGATCTCCCAGAATGGGCAGTCTCTCGGCTAGATCAGAAGTTCCCTTTCCGACTGCTGAAGAGAATAAAAGGACTGAAGTATGTCCCAGGGTCTCTGGCAGAAAGAAGAGCCTCTCAGAGTAGGAAGTAAGTATGCACGTTCCAGTGGTTAAAAGAGATGCTTACTCAGACTGGTGTTTCCTCAGGCTTTCGATCACCGGGGCAAGAATTTTAAATCACTTGAGATCATTACACATACATACAGGCATGGGCTTTCTCAGTTAGCTCTCGGAACAAAAGCAGGCATCATTGCAACTGAAGTGTGGTCCCTTGGGGATGGGAATGGCTTTCTGGGTATTGGGTACATTTCTGCGATTCCCCCGTATCTGTAATCAGTGGGAATGCTTCTGGAATGCCCCATGCCTGTCAGCCATAGTCTGGCAATCCCACTAAATCTTTTACTCCCTTCGGAAGACGTCCATGAACTGGAGATGCCACAGGCTGAACCTGGGATTGTTCTGTCTGCTGTGGATCCTCCCCTGTTCTTTCCCTTTTGTGTGGCAGGATCACTGCTGGCTTTAGAACTGCTGTAGGAGAGGTGGAGCAGGCCCAGGTTTTCCCCTTCCTTACATGTTGCAGGAGCCAAGTGCTGAAGGCAGGAGGGGCCTTCTTGCCCTCAGCATAGCCTGGCCTCTGGCTATAGAATTCCCATAGATTTTGTGCAGTCCGCGCCACCCAGTTATATTAAGAAGTGTTGTACTTATCGCTGTTGACTAGTATTAGCTAGAAATGTAACATTTCTGGAAATTTTGATGCCAGAATTTCCCCCCCTTTTGGGGGGTGGGGGATGGGATTTTTAGTAAAAATTGAAATATATGCAATACTTCCCTAGCAAACAGAGCCCTCTTCTTTTTTTTACACGTTTTATTTATAACTTTTAACTTTAAAACATATAAACAGTGAGGCACTTTACGTGAATGAAACAGATACAATATACTTAATGAAGAATAAACCTTAAATCAAACCAAGATAGACCATTTTTAAACGAGTAACTATAACAATTATTAATAACATTGATATATACTGACCCGAATGTTTTTGCACTTATGTAGTTATAAATTGATTTGATAGGCAAGTTCAAAGGATTGTTATTATCTCTTTATATCGTTGGGGGATTGAATGGGAAGGTACTATTGAATCTATGATCTGGAGTGTCCCACTCTGTCCCCTTTCCCAGCTCACCAGAACCCCATCCTTCACTAACACTATCTCTGTTTCCTCTCTTTTGACCACCCTACTGTGTCTGTTTGTTGGATTAAGGCTTAGGGTCCTCCTCCAGGTACACAGACTCAGGTTCCACACTTGAGTTCAGTGAGCAAGGCAAGGGTTATTATGCAAACGGAACCTTCTTTTACTGATTTAGCAACATATCATTAATAATTTAGCATGTAAAATGCTACTGTTGGGCATGTTTATGGGATTCAAAAGTATGAATCTCTTCATTTTGTGTAAGAAAAATGGCAAGTATTCTTAATACTTGAAAAGAGTTGCAAACTGCTGCACCCTATGCTGCCATAGCCTGTGTATCTTTAATTTTTGCCATCGGAGAGGTAGGAAAACATTAAAGCTGGAGACAGAAAACACCTTCTGAGCAAACAAAAGGAAGTATATTGTTTGGGCAACAACTCTGTCATAGCCACAGTAGGCAGGAATACCAGAATGTTTGGATATTAAGCTAAACTTTATAACATTGAAAACATTGAACTCTTGACCATGCTACCATTAGACACATTGTAGCATATTAATTGTTGCCAAATTATTAGGCAAAAAAGGGAAAGGGAAATATATTATGTGGCTACAGCACAAGAGTTTCTTCGTTGTGCTCCCCCAAGTTTCCCTGTTTTTCCATCGGAGAAAACTGAAAAAAGTCCTCAGCCTTTTTAATGCTGTACATTTGGAATGACTGAAGTGCTTTGTAAGAGAAGGTGGTTCTCAGTAGAGAAAATATTTCAAAGGATATTTTTTCCCCAGTGCTACCCCAAGTTGTTCAATTTTTCCACTGGACAAAATGTCTAAATCCCTCTGTCTTTTCCATGCTATACATTTTGAATGTGAAAAACCTTGTCTTGAGAAAGATTTTACTCATTGTGAAAGTAAATATTTTATAAGAGGTGTTTTCTTTCTGCCTGAAACATTGGGAAAAATGGGGGGGGAATCTGTGCTTTCCCCTGATATGTCACTCCCCCCTCCCCCTGGGTTGTCCCATCTCCAGTATTAGCCAGTTGGGTGCAAATGTCACCAACGTCCTTTGTGTTTCCGGAGTAACACACATGTTCTCTTTTGCTCAGGCTAAATCCAGTGCCAGGGTCTTATCCCACTCAGACCTGCCACAGCTCTCCTCCTGCCTTGCCTGTCGTTCAGATGCACCCCGGTGCTCACGCCTTAGGATCCTGGCCACAGCACCCACTGATTCACCCGCATGCTCCTGTGCCAAATCCAGCTGCTGGTGCCTTTGGAGAGCTGTACATCCAGAACCACTTCCATGCTCCCCCAGGATCCTCTGCCGCTGCCGCCTTTTCTCAACATCTGGGGGCACCTGACATGCCCAAAAGGACAGATCATACGGCAGCTGGAATCCACCAAGCGGCTGCATTTCCCACAACAGGAGCAGCTTCAGGATCAGCAGACCTCTGTCGGATTCATGTGGGCTGACTCTGCAGGAGGCATCGGGATTTATTTTTTTCACAGCTTCCCATGACTTCCAGCACGAGGTGCCTTGCTGAGTTTGGTGCCTCCTCCAGAGGACCAAACAGACTTGAAGGGCTATAAAGAGTTGGGTCCAACATACCTACTTGCATCACGTGGAGATGTCCTCTTGACGCTTTCATATATGCACTGTATGAAGAGCCAAGGTGCAGTTCTCTGTAGGTACTCCACAAGGGTGACCCTTAAACATCTTCTGGAGTATTGCTGAGGGTTTATAGAGGGTCATCTTTTGAAGGATCTGAATGGGGTAGGATTGTGTTATTTTTTTTTACTCTGTGTCTTCTGTGCATGTGCCTCTCTTCAGTTGGAACCCGTCCTAAGTCTTCGAAATGAGATGGGTTAAAGATGTTACTGTTATGACATGGAGTGTTACTTAGGTTTTCCTCCCATTTTATCTTCACAGCAACCTTGTGAGGTAGGTTGGGCAGAAGAAGTAGGGCTGGTCCAAGGCTCCCCAGTGTGCATTATGGACTGAGCAGGAACTTGAACCCAGGTCTCAGCAGTCCACTCCAGCCATTGTATACACTGGCTCTCTAAGAAGCGTAGCATTTTTTGTTTTGTTTTTGCTTACCACCATGCTGTTTTCCAAAATGTGTCTGTAACAACTGCCTGTCAGCCTCTTAACTTTGTCATTACCTTCTCTGGTCTCATTGGGTGGTCTGCCAGCAATCGAGAGCTGGCCTAAGTTGCACGTGATGTCTTCAGCTTGATCAATCAACTGGTAGGCTAATGAGTGCATCGACATCTGGCTTTCTCCCTTCCTCCTTTAATTGACTCTCAACTACTCTGAGCAGTCGTGCCTAAAACATAATCAGTCCTCTTTAGGTGGGGGTTGGGGGGAAGGCCTTTTGGTTAACCTAAAGGTAAAGGTAAAGGTTCCCTTGCTCGAAAGCCAGTCGAATCCGACTCTAGGGTTTCGGTGCTCATCTCCGTTTCAAAGCCGAAGAGCCAGCGCTGTCTGAAGACGTTTCCGTGGTCATGTGGCCAGCATGACTAAACACCAAGGTGCACGGCACGCTGTTACCTTCCCACCGAAGTGGTACCTATTTATCTACTTGCAATTTCTTGCTTTCGAACTGCGAGGTTGGCAGGAGCTGGAACTGGAGACGGGAGCTCACTCCGTCATGCAGCACCCAGGTCTTGAACTGCTGAACTACTGACCTTCCACAGCCTGCAGTTCAGCATCTTAACCACTTGAGCCACCTACTAAGCCATATTTTTCTACATACTTAAGATTTCCCCCCCCCCCCCCCATATGCAGAACCCACCACCACTACCTTATCGGTGCATGGCCTGGTCTTTTTGTTTTTATGACACAAGCTACCCACTTTGCTGTTAGTTACTGTAAATATGTTTAAATAATAGTGATTGGGATGAATACAATACCATTCAAAGGAGCAGTTGCAAAGCATCTAAAGAAGTGAGCGCTGAGTCACAGAAGCTCATCCTAGAATGAAGGTCACATTCTAAGAAGACACAGAGTTGCTGGAAAAGACAGCAATGCTAGGAAAAGCCGAAGGCAGCAGGAAAAGAGGAGGGCCCAACAGGAGATGGATTTATTCAATAAAAGAGCCACAAAGGCCCTCCATTTGCAAGACGTGAGCAGGGCTGTTAACGTGAGGACGTTTTGGAGATCATTAATTTATAGAGTCGCCATAAGTCAGAAGCGACTTAACTGCATTTCATACACACAGGGTGCTTTATTTTGCTACAATAGCCTAAACACGACTACCCCCTGGAAGACTCAAAGTTGTAATAACCCCATTCTTTCCCCCCACGTAGTTGTCTCTAGAAAACATGTATGAAATGTGACACACGCACAAAACATTTACAACCACATTGCATGCACGCACACACCCCGAAACCCTATTCTAATTCAACTATGTAAACAAAAATGTAAAATCCAGCTGGTGAGCTTTTGTTAGTAAATACAAAAGAAACATGCTAACCCAAAATGCTCTCCCAGCTGCCTCTTGCCATGCTCTGTGGATGCCTGTGTGCGTATACTTTCCACACACGCAAGTTCCCGCTGGGCAACCTAGGGCTTGTAAAAATGGAAAGAATCTGCCATGCCTAAAGAGTCAGTATGTGTGTGCTGTGTGCGCAGTGCATGCATAAACCTCTGTACAGCTGGGGAAATGTGGAGGATGGCTCGGGACGAAGGATTGACCCAGACACATACACAGGTACCTAGCTGATTGTCTGGATTGGGTTTACAAGAGAAATTTGTGGCAAATCTAAGCCCTAAAAATAACTGACTGGTCACTTGGGGCCAGGAGGCGGAGAATATACACAGCCTTGATCCAAACCTTAATCTCCAGACATGTACAGTCTAATGTTTCCCCTCCCACCAGGTCCTGAATTTTGCACCCACACTCTAACTCCCAGGCTCCCGCTCAGGGGCGAACCTGGGATTCTATCCACGGAACCATAGGGGCCACTCGAGTGAAGGTGGCCAAGTGCTCTTTGAGCTTTGATTTGCCGTGGTTTTCCATGGTGGATGGGACGACGATCCCCTCCAGGTAGAGCTGTTTGTTCTCTCCTGGGCAGACAAAAGACCCTCCAGCAGTCATCTAGCAAGAGAGAAACAAGAGAGGGAGGGGAGGTTGTGCTGTGAGAAGGAAGGACAATCGCAACATTCATTCATTCATTCTGTTTCCTGGATTTCTTAACTGCTTTTGGCTTTTGTGTGAGAGCCAGTGGCGCTGTGGTGAAGAGTGTCAGACTAGGGTCCAGGAGACCCAGGTTCGAATGTCCACTCGGGCCATGGAAGTCCACTGGGTGACTTTGGGCCAGTCATACTCTCTCAGCCTAACTCCTACCTTTGTGAGGGTAAACTGGAGGAGAGGGAAATGATGTCAGTCATTTTGGGTCCCCCACTGGGGAGGAGGGCGGGGTACAGAAGAAGAAAGAAAAATTAAAAGTATGCCAAGCAGTTGGCAGTAGAAACTATTAAGAACAGATCTCAGTGAAAACCTTGGAACAAGATATAAAACGTTCCATCACCAAGTCATTAAAAGGTCAACGTTTCTAAAAATTAGTGGTTTGGATCAACAGATCGAAACTGCTCATGTAGTCTGATGATTAAATTTACTTACACAGAACCATAGAATGCGTAGGGGTCTCCAGCAATGTTCTCTCTACGCTGAGTTACTGTGAGCTAGCTCACAGTTTTTTAGCCTCCAACTCACAGGTATTTGTCTCAGCTCAGGAAGGATGGCTCCGGAGCAAACTAATTGATGCAGTAGCCAAATCGCTCACTCAGAACTTTAATGCTATTAGCTCACAAAGTAGAATTTTTGCTCACAAGACTCCATAGCTTAGAGGGAACATTGGTCTCCAGGAATACACTTACGGTTTCCCTTCCTCTAAAGCCAGTCGGGCCCGATTCTAGGGATGCCATGCTCATCTCTGTTTCCAAGCCGAAGAGCCAGCGCTGTCCAAAGATGTTTCCGTGGTCACGTGGCCGGCATAACTGGACGCCAAGGCGCATGGAACGCTGTTACCTTCCCACCTAAGTGGTACCTATTTATCTACTTGCAGTTTCTTGCTTTCGAACTGCTAGGTTGGCAGGAGCTGGGGCCAGAGACGGGAGCTCACTCCATCATGCGGCACTTGTGTCTCAAACTGCTGAACTACCGACCTTCCAGTCTGCAGTTCAGCGTCTTAGCCACTTGAGCCACCGCAGCCCTAAGAATACACTTGGCCCTGGTCAAATCTTAATCTCCGGATGCACAAACCATGTAAAGAAGTTGCCCCAAAGAGCTTACTGATATTAAACAACTAGAAACAATTTGATTTATAGGCTTCATTTATACTCTGCCCTTGTCCCCAGTTGGGACCCCAAGCAGCTCACATCATTCTCTTCTCCATGTTATCCTTACAACAACCCTGTGAGGTAGGTTAGGCTGTGTGACTGGCCCTAAGTTCACCCAGTGAGCTTCCATGGTATAAGTGAGGAGTCAAACCTGGGTCTCCCCAGATCCTAGTCTAGCACTCCAGGCACTATGCCACACTGCTCTTTATGTCTGTTTTGGTTACCTAGCATTAGACTGAGGTTTGGGAGGGGATCTACCAGTCATATTTTTACTTCACACATTCATGGATAAAATGGAGAGAATTGTGTATGCTGCCTTGAGCTCCTTTGACAGCAGGGGCTGGATAAAGAGATGATTGATTTTTGTTCAAAATTACCCCCCCCCCGACATAGCCACCATACTTGGGCAAAGGCTAGTGGTTTAAGTTGAGGCCAATCCCCCCACCTCAGTCTTATTTAATATGATGGTTCAACAGCTCTGGAATATAAAACAGTAGTCCAATGTGTCCGAACATAAACAGCGTTTTTGCAGTCGCTGCAGACTAGTTTGGCGTCTCTGGGATTATTTTTATTTTTTTATTTATTTTTATGTACATTATTTATTGTCCACCTTTCTCACTTGGATTCAAGGTGGATTATGCAGAATGAGTCAATACAATCGATGGATGGGACAGTCAATAAACCGTGAAATAGGATTAGGGTTGTAGAACCAACCAGAAGTCTAAAAGCAGAACTGAAGCAAAGTGTACGTGTTTAAGGGACACATTAAATGATGCAAAATACCATAGCAGGATCCTAGCTTCAACACACTCCCTAATAATAATAGAACAGATAAACACCTGGAGCATCACAATTGTAGAAAAAAAAATGAGATCACTGCAGTCCCAGGAGACAGCAGAATAGAAAAGAAAGAACAGGAGAAGATCATGAAATACCAAGACCTACGAATAGAGTTAAAGTGCCTCTGGGAGAAGAAAGTGACCATCGTGCCAGTTGTCCTTGGAGCCCTTGAGCAGTGCCTAGAAGTCTCAAGAAACACTTGGACATTCTGGGCACTGAGCAAATAACACCAGCTCAGATCCAGAAGACAGCGTTGCTTGGAACAGCAAGAATCCTGCGAAGATACATTTGCAGTTCCCAAGAACTTGGCTTGCTCTCAAATTGCAGAACACCATCTACCAGTCAAGTATCTGACTGTGACAATTC